TTTGTCTAATGTAAAATGAACGTTATGAATGTCTTCTTTGGCAGTAAGTTATTCTTGGTTTTGCTTTAAATAATTAAAAGAAAAAATATTGCTCTAAGAAAAAGACAATGAGAATGCATATATTAGATATATAGTAAATTTAGAGAGCAGTATTTAAGTTTAATTAAAATCTTTAGATCATTTAATATTCAGTCTAAATTGTCAATATTTGTACATGATTACTTATTTAATACAATTAAATATAGTAACTGAAACTTCTTTTTTTAATTTTAATTCTGATTGTCTATCTATTATTTGTTTTTTTATTATTATTATTTCTTTCTTTTTGCATAATAATTTTTTTGATATCATTAATATAATAATTGTTAATATATTATTTTCAGTTCGATAAATATATATAGAAAAAGGCAGATTTAAAATTTAGGACGGTGCAATTTGTTAATAAATATTGATGAATTATTGATATTCGTTGATTTCTTACACCGTATCATTTTAAAAGGCACATTTATTTTTATATTGCTTTCGTTAACTATATTTCGTCGTAAACGTAAACGAAGGATACAAATTTAATTCTATTTTGTATTGATTTTTAAGTTGCATATATGATAAAAATTTCTATGAAACTTATGATAAATAAAATATCGTTTCTTCATGGCAACGAAAAAAAATATCAAAAAATATTTCATTAAAGAAACAGACTATCTCTATTGTTGTTTACAACCATCTTTCACTCGACGTTTATGCTTTTCTTCATGAGTTTGGGACGGAGATTGTATTTGATTTCTTCGTTGTCCTTGGATAGGCATGTAACATGGAGCATCATCATTCATAAGCTCCTGTGGTGGTGTAGGTAATGCATATGTAGGGCTTACTGTACTGCTTGAACTATTTGAAGTATTTCTATGTATATTTCCATTATATGTAGGATCAATAATTGCAGCCACATTTTGCACTTCTCTTATATTCTCAATTGAATCATCTATTTGTATTTCTTCAGGATCAGGATATTGAGGATAATTTAAAGATTGTTGTATTCTAGTTTTACTTTGCACATTCTTCAATTCTAATCTATCAGGTCGTTGAGGTTTCTCTGTGAGATTTTGCTCTTCTAATTCTTGAAGTTGTTGTCGTTCCAATTTTCTTTGTCTAGCTTTTTGTCTTGCTTTCCTTATTTTTGCACGTTCTTTTTCTTGAAGCATTCGTGCTAGTTCAGCATCCTGTGCTTCCATTGCAATTTTTTGATCTAATAGTAATTGCTCATTAACAGGACCATCGTGGTTACTTATAGCACTTTCTTCTTCTTCTTGCTGCAATTTTCTTGCTAATTCCTTTATTTAAAAAACAGATTAAATTATAATAATGTATATTAGTAAGTATAAAATTAAAATATCTTTAAATATACCTCATCTTTCTCTTCTTGAATATGTCGTTCAATTTCAAGCTGTGCAGCTTCGTCATCCAACCTCAATTGCAGTCTCATTTGTTCTTGTAATTCTCGTTCTCGTTGTCTTTCTTCACGTTCTAAAGATAATGCAATCTGTTTTGCAACAAGTGCATCTCTTTCTTCTCTAAAAATAAAAATATTTAAATGCAAAATAATAAATATTTAATAAATTATATTGAAAATATAAATACTAACTGCTGTTGAATGTAGGATTGATATTTGAGAGTTTCCAATTCTTGTTCAACTTTAGCTCTTGGTAAATCCTCTCTGACTTGTGCATTACGCATTTTGTTGCTAGAGTAATGTTCTCTAACTATAAAACATAAACATAATACTAGAATAAAATCAGTAATATTTTATAAATGATCTAATCTTACTTTCTTCATCCTGTAAACGATATGCGAGAGCTCCATCTTCATGCACCAGCCATTCACGACACACTGCAACATTTTTAAACAAACGATTATTAGGATTAATTAAATGAGTTATTTTAATAGAGAATGACAGGATTGATTCAAAAAAAAGAAATTACCTTCATTTACCCGACCTGCTTTTGGCAATGTGTCAGAACTCAATACAGATTTTGCCATTTCTCATCAATTAATTATTATTTAACAAATAGATATTTCTTTCCGATTTTCTTGTTTACAACCACCTTACAGAAAACATACGTTGTTTTCTCTCCATCTTGAATAGCAATAGAATATATTCATGTATTGGTGCCGTTCTCATCGTATATATGCATTTCTCCTTTCATAGTCATATAAGAATGCTCTAAACACATTGAAGACATAATACAAGCATGAATACACATATATATCGACACACTTTTGTGCAGGTTTTTTATTAAATACTGATAGTAATGTTATTATTTATGAGTTTTGAACTATTTTCTTAATAATATTTAATACATAACTAATAAATAACTATTCATTATTTAAAAAATATACTAAATTTTTATTTTTAGTTTTTATAGATAATAAATAATATTGAAAATATTTATAAAAATTAAATTTCTAGAAAATTATTATAGAAATTATTAGGTTAAATCCATCACTACTTTACATAAAATAGCTATAGAGTAATACATTAGTAGTAAGACAAGTGTACTCATGTCATTAGTGAAGTGGATAGTAGACTTTTCTGTATTAATATCTCTCTTAAAAATTATTCAATAATATGATCTGATTGAATAAATTATTTAGTTTTCATAAAAAAAGAAAAATAAAATTTTTTTATTTAAAATATATTTCATTTAATCATTATGATTATATCGTTCATCATTTCTAAATCATAAGAAGTATATTTTTAAATATGTTTTATATATAAATTAGTTTTTCTATGTTGTATTTTTATTTTACATTTATTTTTATATTTTTTTATGTTATATATACTATGATCATTTATTATATTATGATCATGATATATATATTTTTTTATACATTTTTTTCTTGCAGTTTCAATCTGTTTAAAAATATAAACATATGTAAGATAAGTATTTAAATTAGAGAATAAATATATTAATTAAATTTATTAAAATTATTAAATTAATTAAAATTAAATAAAATGATGATAAAAATCATTTTTGAAAATATGATAATATAAAGAAATAAATATTTAAAAGATAAAAAATAAATAAATACAAATTATATTTTATTGATCAATGTTTGACAAGTAGTATAAATTAATTCATTTATTTAAAGAAGTAGTATAAATCAATTATTTTATCAAATAAATAACATGTATTAATAATTAGATCAAAGAAATAGGTATAAGTAAAATATAAGTCAATAATTTTGTTAGAGAATATAAATTAATAATTAATAATTCAATATAGATAAATAGAGAAATAATATATAAAATCTGATACAAAACCAAAATTTTATATTAGGAGAATATAATTCGATAAAAAATGGTATGCGAAACTTTTTCGATTATTCCAAAATAAAAATTTTCAATCTTGCGTTAGGAGAACATGATTTGAGGATGGCATATTTTTTTACTATCTATAAAAACAAGAATTTCTTGAAATTTTATATATTTATTTGAAATATTTACTTTTCAAAATAAAAATCATATTTTTTATTATGAAAATCATTATTATGAAAATCATATTTTATATTTTTAAACTGAATGTTTCTCGACGATTTTTTTAATTCTAGAAGATTCAGAAATGTAATGAAAAAAATACAAATAGAATAAGTAAAAATTTTAAAAAATTTAAAAAATTAATCATCAACGCCATCTATTGAATGTCAAAAATATATTTTTAAAAAATTCAAAAGATGGCAATGATCCACAATTCTTATTCTATTGCTTTAAAAATAGATGTCTTCTTCATTTAAGAAATGACATTGATGATTAAATCTTATCTTTCTTTTATTATTTGTTTTATTTATTTATTATTTGTTTTTATTTTTTTTATTTATATTAATTTTATTTGTAATATTCTGAATATGGCATTAATTTCCACATTTTTATGTTTCTTTTTAATATTTGCTTTTTATTTATATTTCCAATTTATTTATTTATATTTATATATATATTGATACGTGATTGTGATCACAGATAAAATACAAATTAAAAAATAGATAATATAAAATATAGATAGATCTATAGGATAATGATCTTATAAAACATAATATATCTGATATATAATATGATTTGAAACGAGAATTTAAAAAAAAACTGACACAACAAATAAAAAATTTTTAAATATTCTATTGAAAAACAATATAATATCAAACATTCGTTATCAAATATGTATCAATATGTATCAATATTTTTTTGCCATTTGTTAAGCATGTAAATACTATTATTGAATATGAGATTTGATATTATATAATTTTAATAAAAAAATCATTAAAAATATAATTCATAAATATTATATAATATTATATAATTAAAAATTCATAAAATATTAATTCATAAATTATTTATTATTATTATATATGTTATGTTTATATATTTGATATTTATATTTGATGTTTATATTTTATCATTTAATTCTTTAATTAATAATCATCTGACATATAAATAATTTTTAAATATTTTTTAAAAAATTATGTTTTGTATAATATTTTATAAAAAATTCTCATATACAATAGTAGTAATTGTATAAAATATAATAATAGTAAATATAATAATAGTAATTGGAAAAAAAGAAAGTAAAAAAAAACAATCCTGTCAAGTTATATATATATATATATATAATAAACAATAATAGTTTACATAAAATGGGATTAATCTTTAATGTTATTATATGATTAAGTACGATTTTAATTATTTTAAATGTAATAATTTTATTATTTAATCTTTAATATATATATAACTTATTTATATATTATAAGTTGTAAATAGCTGAAGTATATATTACTTGTCAAAAATTATGTTTTTTGTATTTATGAATACAAAATTATTTGTAAAAAATGAAATTTGACTATTTATATTATTTATTTTTATTTTTTAAGCGTAAAAGATAATTAAAAACATAGTTCACAAAATTTTTGTTCTGCAAAATACATTTAATTTTATTTATATTATATATATAAGTAAGGTTAAAAACAAATCTATAATCAAAATTTGATTATAGAGAATTATTTAAAGAAAAAAAAGTTATATAAACTTTAGAAAAATGTTATGTTATAATGGAAAACTTAGTTTTTTCTGTTTTATATTCGCTGGTTTAATCGCGATTTTATCAGAAATATTACTAAGGTTAGAATTCGATATTTTTCGAACATATTTCAATAATATTTGGCTTATGCATTTATTTCAATATGGATTCTTAAATATACTTTTACTTCTTGTATTTTATGGTTTCTCTTATCAGGTATTTTAAATATGTTATTATAAATTATATGAATTATTATAAGTTATTATTATTACTAATATAAAGCACTAAATATTTATATTTAATAGGTTGCTGTAAGAGCCATATTTTTAGGATATGGATTTGGAATTGGAATTATATTGTTTTTTGTTGCACCACCTTCATGGCAGATGTTTGGAGTATATATTACAGTTCTAGCAACATTTCATTATACAGAATTTTTAAGTATTGCTTGGATAAATCCATCTTCACTTTCTATCGATAGTTTCATTTTAAATCATAGTATAGCTTATGGAGTGGCAGCATGCTGTAGTTGGATAGAATTTATTATAGAAAGATTATATTTTCCTGGGATGAAAGAAGCTTCCTTCATATCATACTTTGGATTAGTACTATGCATTTGTGGAGAGTTTTTGAGAAAGCTGGCAATGTTTACTGCCAAACATAATTTCAATCATATTGTGCAAAGTGAAAAAATGGACAATCATGAATTAATTACCTATGGAGTTTATAAAATTTGTAGACATCCTAGTTATGTAGGCTGGTTTTATTGGTCTATAGGAACACAGGTAATTTAATTTTATATTATATTTATAATTTCACAATATAATTTTACAATATAATTTTACAATATTTTATTAAAAATATTATTTTATTAAAATACAAACATATAACTTTTATGTATTTGTTTTTATAGTTAATACTTCAGAATCCATTTTGTCTCTTTGCATACACTGTGACATCTTGGAAATTCTTCCATGATCGTATTTTAATTGAAGAAGTCACTCTGCTTAATTTTTTTGGACAAGATTATGTAGAATACCAAAAAGAAGTTAGTACGGGACTACCTTTTATATCTGGTTATAAATTGGATGTATAGCAGCCAATATATGTTTGAAATATTGTGATTGTTTTAATTTCTCAGGAATAATCATATCATTATTTATATTAATATTCTTTTTTATTGTATCATAAACAATAACAAAAAAATTAAGAAAAGTTTTTAACAAAATTATATTTATTGTCTCATTTCATTTTGAAGAATTATTCATATAACAATAGACTATACTTTCATATATGATTACTTTCAGTTGATTCAGATTATACACTTATTTGTATATTTACTTATTATAATATGTGAATATATATACATATGTATGAAATGTAGTAGATAATAAATATGTATAATGTTGCAGTTAATACTTGCATTGACCTAAAGCATTCAAGTCGAATAATAAGAAAAAAAATTCCAATGATTTCAGCAATATTACAATAATTTCATTATGTCTGTACATGATCATTTACAAATCTTAATACTGACAAAGCTTTTTATCATATTAATTAATTCTGTTTGAATATTTCTATCTATTTATTATCTTATCTTAAAATCAAAAAATAGATTGAAATGAGAATATATATTATTTAAAATAAAATAAAAAATTTTATGTTGTGGATCAGAATTAAGTCATATTAAAATTATATTATCACATTTTGTTTGTTTTACAAATTTAAAAAACGTTTTAAAAATTGATATTTTTTATGTAAAACAATTTGCATTTGTTAATTGATAATTTAATAAGCGGTCACATGAAAAAAACGAAACGATAATATATTGTTATAATATTTGATAATTAAATAAGTAATAACGATTTGTAAATATATTTTGTCATATTATTCATTCCATATCTATTTCTTTTTCTTAACAATATTATCGATAATACGATATTTTCTTTGAGAAATAACGGTTATATAGAATGTAAGAAAATGTCAAGATTCGGGAGACTAATTATAATTATTTACACACGTTTATCGTATTTTGTTAAATACAAATTTCCTTAGAACTAGCAACATATCATACTAGCACCGTATTTTAACTATGCAAATATTTGTAAGTAATTTTTCTTCATTAATATCACATAAATGGAGATCGAAATGTTTTGATAAAAAAACAATTCTTATAGCTATTAAACAATCAATAATAGGGCCTATATTTGGTCCAGATAAACATTGACAAAAATTCTAAACATAAGTTCATTCTAAAATATAAGTTTTTTTTACAATTTTTTATATATTGAAGGCATTGATTTATTATTATATCTAGACCTTCTCATTTTCAATTCAAAGATAATATTCAACTAGAATCATAATTAGAGTTTGCTAATATATAATTAACATATATTAAAGACTGGAAAATGCCTATAAAAAACGAATCAGACAATGGCAGTGAAAACTTATATGAGATATAATATAATATTATTCACAGTCATCTTAACGTTCATTTTATTTTTTTTTCAATGTGAAAATTAATTAATTTAAAAAAGTATTATTGTCAAGTAAAAAATAAATTTAAGAAAAAAGGAAAAGAAATCTAGCTTATTTTAAAACAAAGATTTGTATAAAATATAATTATAAATTGTTATCAGAAATGTAATTTATATATGTACAGATAGAAATCTGTTTATATAACATTTATCGCACTTACTTTCACAATGAGGAAAATATTTAAATTGTCCTTTATTGTAAATAAACTTTTTCATATCTTTATGAAATCCAAATCTTATTGAAAGTCTATTGCTTAAATAATTATAATAATAAAAAAAATAATAATATAATAAAAAAAAAGAAATCAAAGAAAAGAAAATTGTTATTTAAAATCAATAATTTTTATTGTAAAATATTATTAATTTATCTTGCCTTCAACATTAATAAAGTAATAAATAATTTACAAATTAATCTTTCAATCTTTCAATTAATTTCCACGAATTATAATTGAATACGTAATTCTTCATTATAAAATGCGCTATTAATGAAAAAATACGTACTCATTTGAAAAATAACATTTAACTTAGTATACATTTCAAAATGTCTATGTATAATATTGTAAAAAATACGCTTTGTTCTCTTACATCTATGATAAAAGCGAGCAAATTTTGAAATAAAATTAACAACGAATAATGTTTGATATTATAAGCAGCTAAATTGGCCGCTGGTTTTGGGTGGATTATATTAACAGGAGGTGGAGGAACGAATGCATCGAACATATCAGTGTCTGCATTAGTAAATACCAAAGAAGAAGGAATCCATCTTGCTCTAAACAGCGTGAAACATTTCATTTTATATAATTTTTATAATCTTCTTCTTAACATAATAATAATCAAAAAATAATTCAATCATTTACCTAGTACATGGTGAAACATTTTTTCCTCTTATAGCTTTGTCTCCGATATCTATGGCTCCAGAATCTTGCACTTCCATAGTATAAATGCAACCAGAAAATCCTTCTTGATATTTTCCGTAAGTCATAGCATAATCAGGTACTCCTCCCAAGTACACATTACCTCTGGTGTTTAAATCTTGTTGTGTTCCATAACTAGTACTACTTTCCATATGTTCACCATTTAATTCAATACTACCGTCGCTTCCTTGGCGTTTTAAAATTATTCTATGTCTTTCTCCATCATCTACTTTCTGTGCAGTGACACGAATCACTACTGGACCTGTTCCTAAATCATACTGATATTCTACATAGCTGAAAAAATAATAAATTAAATATTAGTTTTAAAATCAGAAATGTAATAGTTTCTGTTTAATTGATTATAGTATTTATATTATAGTATATATAATATTTATTTAAAAATGAATATTGTTGATTACCCATCAACCACAGCAAGAGCCATATAGTGATCAGGATTCAAATTGCTTGGCATCTGTCCATGCCACATGATCAATCCCCTAGTCTTATTCGTCGAAATTTCAAAACCTAATACTTCGCGCTCTTCTTCATGTATCATTACATTCTTATCCAATTCTAACCAACCATCTCCTTTGAATGCAACGTCATATGTTATTTCTGCGACTAGAAATGAAATGTAAAATATAAAATATTGGTCATATGATAAAATATATTTTATATTGAATTTCCTGAAGCAATTACGTTTTTCACAATTTTGTCCATTATAACCCAGTTGACAATCGCATTTGTAAGATCCATGAAGATCTGTACACGTGCCTCCATTTCTACAGGGAAGAAGTAGCTCACATTGTTTTAGAATGTTTTCACAGTTTCTGCCTACATAACCATATTCACAAGTGCAAGAATAGTCATAAGAATCAGTATTCTGACATATTCCATGAATGCAAGGATTTGAGGCACACGGATTATAAGGAGTCGTAGATGATGTTGTAGTGATTATAGTAGTTATTTTAATTTGATTAGGATGCAAAACGTTACAATCATCTATATTTGCTGAGTCTATAGCTGATTTTAATATGTCTACATTTACCGAAGAAACTCCAAGCTGAGAACATAATAGAATATATTTTAATTAAATAGTTTCTTCATTTTTTAAAAATTTTCATAATGAACTTACATCACTGATGCAACCTCGAAAAGTTTTATTTACACCAGCATTTTTATTTATTGTGATTTTTCTGCGATCAACACCTCCAATATAGAGAGGTGTATTAAGTGTCATAATGCGATCACTTCCTGGAGATTTGCCTATTACTGTAGGTTCTCCATTCACAGTCAAATTTCCTTCCTTGAAGTCCCTATTTATAGATACATGCGTCCATACACCTGGCTGAAGGATATGATTTGACGTAATGATTGCAGGACCAGAACCAATGTCGTACCGGAACTCGACGCGTTTTTCCTTGATTACTAGTGCCACAAAGTCTCCTAGTCCTTCATCACTTTGAGCACAATACATCAGGATGCCGTCCTCGTTATCCAGAGGATTAAAGTTCAAAGCCATTTTTAACCTACGATAACATTGAAATTATTAAAATAATTGTTCTAGTTTGATATTAGATGTACATAGAAATTAATTCCTGTTAGTGAGAGAAAAGTATTAAAGTTAATGGAAAAGCCATGAAAAAATATGAAAAGGCAAATTCCTTTGTATTGTGTAACTTACCTCCTTGATGTTCATAAACTATGGAGATGGGTAATCAGCAAAATGAATATATAATTCGGTAAAAGTCCTGTTAAATCAATTTTTATTTGCATCTCAAGACATATATTTATACTTATAGCATCGTTCGAAGCCCGTCGAATACATATAAACGGTCATTCTGGCCCTAGAAACACACCACTTATGGCACATATACCAAATAGGTTTTTACAAAATAAGTACAAACATTTTAAGATGTGCCTGATTTGAGGTGTGTGTGTGTTGCGTGTGTGTTTAATACACAAGTCAATGCCACAACACTAATAATTGTTTTAATAAGCTCTTGATATTACTGTAAAATGCAATTCTCGTTTGGCAGTGACCTTATTAATGGTTTATTTTAAACAATAATTAAAATAACTAATACAATGCGTTAAAATATACTATTTAAGAAGCTGTACAGAGAACTCTTTACGGTCCATCCAGGCAATAATCTAAAAGCTATCTTAATAAAAAGAGAGCTTTCTTTAATAATAAAAAATTTTTATGATATTATTACTATAAAAAAGATTAATTGGATCCGTAAAAAGTTAATATATGAGAATAACGTAAATATATTGATATTCTAATATTACAGCACCATGAGGTTCATTCCAAGGAACTACTCACTATACAGGCTTCAACATAATTATCTATGATACGTATGAGGCAGACACAAAGAAAAAATCTAATTGTAAATAAAATTTTCATAAAAAAAATATATATAATATACATATATGCTGACTGACAACTATAAATAGCAGTTAATGTTTTCTATAAACATTTAATAATAATAAATGACTTTTCCTTCTTTTTTCTTTTTCTATCATTATGTGCATCGAAAAAATTTGATTGTGAAAAAAGGACTAATGTTTCGTGTGGTGCAGCTTATTGTGGTGATGTGGCCTTGATCGTGGCTTTCTAACTTGTGCGTTGCGTGCTCTTAATCGACCGTATGTTTTGATCGGGTTCATTCTCGCCCTGAAAATCATTGTTTTAATTAAGATCAAGATTCCTTTTCAATTGAACAAGTTAATGTGCGCCTGAGGATCCTCCAGGAAGATTTTGCATCCATTGATTAACATTTAAATATATATAATCAATTATTGAACATGAAATTCTAAAATAAAAAACTTTCTAATTCTCTACTGACAAATATAATATAAGAGCTATAAAACAGGATATATGCAAAAAATCTGAATTATCTTTTCTAATCATGCATCATGCACTATAGATAATTACCGTCTGAGAGCTTTTGGCGTTTCATGTGCTATAAAGGATTTATCGTCATGGAAGGCTGGTTCGTAGATTTTTATCGAGTTCTCACAACGAGGGCCAGTTCTTCCGGGAGGACAATAACATTCGAAGCCAGTTTCCTTGTTTACGCAATTGCCTTCACCACAAGCACCTAATATAAAAAAAGATAATTACAATTCTCTGGATAACTCTAAGAAAAAATAAAAAAATAAAAAAAAATAATTAAAAATAACTAAAAATAATTAAAGAATAATTTCACCTGGATAACAGGACTGGCCAACATAGTCACAATGTTTTCCACTATAGCCAGCACGACATAGACAAAGGTATCCATTTTTTGTAGCAGCTTCTTGACATACACCACCATTGTTGCAAGGATTTTCAGCACAAGTTTCACAATTAGTGATTCCAACACTATCGGTTTGATCACCAATCAAATCAATTTCTTTCTCTCCAATTACCAATCTGCTGATGCAGCCAACAAAACCACTATTGATTTCTGCATATTGAGTTATTATATTATCACTGGGAACTCCACCGATAAACAATAGCGCTTTCAAGTCTAATCCTTGCTTTTTGCCAACTGCGACACCTTTGTAAGGACCTTCACCATCAACTAACATAGTTCCTTCTTTTCTATTACGTTGAAGTTTTATGGTATGCCATTCTCCAAGTGTTACAGATTTATCCGCCCGAATGATAGCTGGTCCAGAACCGAGATTGAAGCTTACATACAAAAATTATTATTAGTTAAAAACATAATTTAATTCATATAAATTTTGACTAATTTATATTAATTTAATTATCTTAATTAAGTTAATAATTACCTGAATTGTGGATAGCCTCTAACAAGTGATAATAAAACAAAATCACCATTTCCACTACTGGATTCATCATTATACAAGATTATACCATCATAATTTTGAGGTTTGAAAGAGATTTCGATATTGAATTTTAGATAAGAATCACGTAATGGAGATAAAGCAATAAAACTTCGAGGAGCCTGACTGAAATATGGAACAACTCCTGTTACCACAAGCACTGTAGGTATTTCTATATTTTCATGATTGTTATTTACACTGCAGATATAGGTTCCTGCATCCTCTGCTTTGACATTGATTAGCTTCAATTTACTCTAATAGAGAAATAATAGATGAAATTATAATTCTTAGCTATTATTTTTTATTGATCATAATATAATATTATTAATGTACCTCGAAAATCTGAGCATCAGATGGCAGAAAACCTCCCAATTTACTCCAATGAAATTTCATTGGTGGGTCAATATTAGGACGGCAATCCATTTCTAGGCTAGATCCATAAGGAGCATATTTGGTTTCAATTGCTGGTGCGTCATTATTTCCACCTAAAAAATATTCTCAATTAAAAAAATTTATATATTTAAAACATTACAATGTATGTATTACTTACATTGATATATTATTTTGTTAGCAGGTAAAATAAAGATTATATTAATTATATTAATCTAATTTTTATAATAAAGAACTTAATTAACATTAAATAAAAATTTACCATGTACAACAAGATTGAAATCTTGTTTGAAAACACCTTCAGGAGTATCAGCAGTACATCTATATAATCCACTGTCGCTAACAGCCACGTTAGATAATCTCAAAATATTTCCATATTCTTGAGCATTTTCTGGTAGACTGAGATGATTAGGTCTAGACCAATGATAACGTGGATTATGAGTTCCAGAACATGCACAACGTATATCAATGGTATCTCCGATATTCACTGGATCCTGAGAGACTTCCACACTGACTGCAGGTATCGGAGTAGCTAAAATATAAATAATAAAATTAGCAAAATATATTAAATAATATTTTTAATATATACAAATATGATAATAATATAATATATATTAATATAATATATATTAATAATATATTATAATAATATATACAAATATATCTTTTCCAATAGTACTTTAATACTTAAATACTTCTTATAACATTGATTTTTAGAATAAATTTCAATAAATGATAATAGACAACTGCATACCACTTAAATAAGGAGCAGACTACTTCTACTGAATAACAAATACGTATGAAAAGTATTCAAAACTATTATAGTATTAATAATACTAATTATCGCTAAAATATTAATTTCCTTTTGTATAAACATTGTATAAATTTTCTAATTTTCTTCATGTTTGATTAATTTTGATAATTTTTTAAAGATGTCTAAAATGTTTTAATATACACAGTGATTAACACTTTTGTAGTTGTTAACAATAATAATATGTCATTGTTTTATTTTTATTGAAAATTTAATAGACTTAATAATAATGCAATAATAGTGAGAAATCAATGACCACAAAAATGTTAACTTGTTCAACAAAAAAGAAAAAAGCGTTAATTGTTCACGTTACACATCGGGAACACATAATTTTTTTCAAAACAAACCGCCTCGATTTTGAAGATAGTGGTGAATCCACCGTTTGCTGTTGAAGTAGCGGTTATCACCAGAGAAGAGAGGATTGACGTTGCAATAGTAATCCAATAGAAAGCATCCTTGAATGCCGCACATACAATTGTTTTGCCTGCACTGCGTTTGGTTCACACGCATGCAATCTGTATGCAAATTAACTACTAATAAACAATACCATGACAACTATGAATAAACCTCTGTTCTCTTAGATTGCTGATCATAACTTATCGGTGATGATTTTGTATTAAATTATATTATTTGCATAATTTGAATTATGCAAATTGCACATATTTTAAGATATTTGCTAAAAAACAATCTAATACAATTTTTTTTAATTAAAGTAAATATTTTAATTATAAATTTATTGTTTGATTTATATTAAAAAATGAAAGATGTAAAACAATTTTTAAAAAAATCCTAAATTAAAAATGAAGAAAGAAACCATGCATGATTATTAGACTACAAATTTCAACTTACGCGAAACGTTTAAATTAATATAGTCACTGGAGACTCCATGAGAAGTTTGTATTTGGCAGATATATCTTCCACTGTCTTCTGGTCTTACTCTAGGTAGTTCTAAATAATCCTCTTCTATTCTGACATTAGATGGCAATGGTTGTCCATCTCTGACCCAGTGTATAGTAGCTCTTTCTCTAACCATGCATCGTAAACGCACAGGTTGTCCTACGTAAGTGACAATGTCTCTTTGGGCAGCTTTCACTTCTGTATTTTCATAAGGATGTTCTGAAAAAAATATAACATTTATATGATAACTACATTTTTGAAATTAGAATTTATATGTATTATATGTTTTTACATACCATTCACCAAAACTTCAGCGACAGCTTCAGCAGTTCCTGCATCGTTAGTAGCTTTACAGACATATTTTCCGGCATCAGAATAAGTGATTCCATGGAATTGGAGAAGTCCACGATTATGTGTCACTGAATAAGGTAGGGAACGTCCGATAGCATTCCATTCTATACTCATAGGTTCATCTCCGCTTGTACGACATTCGATTGATGGACTTTCTCCTGAACGAACAGTTTGTCTGGGTGGAATTAATACAATCCTGGGTGGAGCTAGAATAGAAGAAAGAATATTATATAAAGAAAAATATTATATAGAAGAAAGAATATTATATAAACGATTTTCAATTATATTTATTTATTTACATAAGTAAAATGAGGATTAATTGAGAATCTTACATAATACTTCAAGATGAGATTTAGCTTTAAAGAGAAGATTGCCAGCTTGATCCATTCCAGAACAAACATATTCTCCTGCAGCGCTCTTATCTACAGCTGGAATGATTAGTACACCATTGTGAACAGAACTACCATTTGGCAAAGCTCTATGGTCTGTTCTCTTCCAATCTAAATAAATATGATTTCCATCATTATCATGCACATGGCAACGCATTTCTACTTTGCCACCATTGGGAATTCTAAGATAATCTTTTGGTATGGAATCATCGCTTGTAGTATCCTATAATAAATATTGTAACAATAATATTCATTATATTTTTATGCGGACTTTAATCCCTAATAATAAAGAAAGAACATACAGGACAGGGAACATCGCCTCTGCAAGGTGGGTAAACCTCTGAATCCTCTACTCTGATATAGACGCGTTCTTCGACAATTCCTGCTGCGTTATTTGCGTGACAGGTATACGAACCTTCATCATTCGGAGATGCGGAATATATTTCATAAACAGCTTTTTGAGGGGTATCAATTACTTCGTTTGTTGTACCACTGTAGAAATTCAAACATTATTTCTATATTATTTTTTTAAAATCATTTAAAATCATTATTTTTCTTTTCAAAAGTAACTTACAGAGGTACTACATTCATGTGTTTACTCCAAGCGACTGTAGGTTGCGGATATCCGGTTGCGCTACAAACTAGTCGTACTCTATCTCCAGGTTTCACGGTTAAAATTCCAGATTTAGGTGTTATTAAGATGACAGGCACAGATTGAACTTCTATATATACATTTGCAGAATTTGAATCAACGGAATTGACAGCAGAACAAACATAAGAACCCCCATCATTAGTTGTGATATTGGAAAGCCTTAAAACACCTCCAGGAAGTTGTTTAATATTAGGAGCGAATGGTCGACCATCTTCATGAGACCATTGTAGCACTGGTATAGGAATTCCAGCGATTGCTCGACATTGAAGATCTGTGGATCCACCCAAAGTAACTGGAGGGACGTTTTTGGGATAAATCTCTACCAATGGAGGTTCTCTCGCTGTTTAAATGAAGTCAAAATTACTTGAATATAATAAGATAAATATAAATTATAATACAATTACATACATATTTAATTATGTTGAAAAGATGATAATGGAATGACACTGAAACAAAGAAACAATTTTTTTCTTTGGCTCACTATAATCTTATTTGTAGATGATTTTTGGGTAATATGCGCATTTATTTTTATAAATATAAACTACAAATATATTTATCAAAAATTATCAATTCCATATTCCTTTCATTCCATTAGTCTTCTTTAAGTCTTATAGTATTAAGTTTGATGATCACTCACGTTCAACTTCAATGATAGCGCTAGCTTCGTGATTTCCACTTGGTCCCGTGACTCGACAGACGTAGACACCACGGTCAGCAATCTGGATGTTAGCAATTCTCAAAGTATCTCCAATTTGTTGCACATTAGGACTCATTTGTTCAATATATTTACTCCATTTTACTTGTACATCAGGTTCTCCAGTTGTGAAACATTTTATTTCAGCTATACTGCCTTGAGGAACAGTCTGTTTTTCAGGTGTTACTTTAACAGTTGGCAAAGGTCTTCTAGGTATTACTGTTATGTTGATAGTTTTATGAGCTACTGTTCCTATATAACTGATTGCAGTGCATACGTAGATACCAGAATCGTACGTGGTTGGATTTACAATTGTTAAAATACCATCGCGTTGATTAGCTGTAGGAGGCAATGGAATATTTCTTTCTCGGGTCCAAGTAACATTAGCGTCTAGAGATGGGATGCAAGTTATCACGATTGTATCTCCAACTGATCCAATCCATTGTGGAGGAGTTATGGTAGGTGGTATTGAGTGTGATGGTGGAGTTTCAAGATTATCTATAGATAAATTTATGATATTATAAAGATTAATTTTTGATATGCTATTACTTGTTATATTACTATTAGAATAATTTTGATTAAGAATTAATATTACCTTCAACGTAGAGAATAACGGTTTTTTCATCTATGCCAATATTATTTCTTGCTACGCATTTATATTCAGCGGCATCACTTTTCGAGACAGCTTTTAAGATCCATGCTCCATTGTAAACTATGACTTCTGGATTCATGGGACCATGAACACGAATCCATTCAATTTGTGGCGGTGGATTTCCGCTGGCTTCGCAACGGAATTCCGCAGAATGTCCCTCTACTACTTGTAGAGATGGAGGTATGACAATAGTTCTTGGTGCAGCTGATTTTAGTATTTAAACAAAAAACATTTAATTTATGATAAATTATGAAATAAAATTAAGATGTGTAAAATGCTGAATCCCTTTGCATATAGATAATATTAGTGAAATTTTATAATTCAGTCAAATTCTATATAATTTTTATCAATTCTTATATATTGTTGTAAAAATATATTGTTTTAAAATATTTTTAAAAAACATTTTAAAAATAAATTTCATAGAATAAAATTATAAAAAAGAAAAAATTTATTAAGTGTAATTTATCAATTCACTAATATTATTACTTAAATTATTATTTACATTTCAATTATTATTATTATTATTATTCAATCTTGTATACCTGGAATATCCAATAAACTTTGTGGAAAAGCTGCATAAGGTATATGATATTTTAAATATGATAAATAAATATTTCAAAAAATTTCAATTTCCTTTTTCTTACCTCCAACAGTGAGGGTAACATTTTTATAACCAATGTGTACTCCATCACTGACTTGACAAACATAAATACCGCTATCAGATACTTTCACGTCTCGAATAACTAGTAATCCATGATTATCATCTACACTTCTTCCTGGCGGTAACTGACCACCTTCTTTCTCCCATTTGATATACAAAGATCCCTATATGTTAAAAAATATATTAAATATTTTTTAAATATTTAAATATCTTACAATTTGCTTACATTATCTACAGATGTTCCAGAACAATGATATCTAACAGTGCTTCCTGTTTCAATTATTTGGAACTCTGGTCCTCTAATATAAATCAAAATCTTTGGTGGAGTTAAAGTAGGATATGTAGTAGTTGATGTAGTAGTACCTTCTGTAACAAACAGTAAAAATTAAAAAATTAATTAAAGATGCAAATCTTCAAAATGCTTCACAGTCATATAACATAGAAACATATATAAATGAAGATTCCACCACTGCCCATATTCTTTTTAATTTTTTATAATCAATATGAATACAATTAGAAGCTCCTGAATCAAAAATATGATTGAAAAATAGGAGAGCTAGCAAGCAATCGATAATGTACACCTTTCAATTGTATAGGCGTTACTACGGGAAATGATCATTTGATGAATTGTATCAAAACACGAATGAAAATGAAGATCATGATATTCCTGCCTTCCACGGACGGACAAACATGAATTATTCCTTTCATTTGATCCGCCAAACCTGGTAAGACTGTCGACACAACTTTGATTAACTCTTTCCCGTTCAGATCCGAGATACAGCATTCCACATTGAAAGGATGTTGCCGGACGTAAACATACCAAGTCCTCAACGATCCGTTTGTTGTTGTTTTGAGAGATTCCGGCTCGAAGGCAGTCGCGGTTACAGGATAGCCATCACATGGACTCATTGTAAAAGAAATATACAACGGGTTTGAGAACTTGTAACTGCATGTGAACAGAACCCACGAGTTTGCCTTTACTTCACCCGTCATTGGCGTTAGACTTACCATCAGTTCACCTAACCGATCCAATGTTTGAAACATTTTATTTAATATTTTTTATTCTTTATCTGCAGTTTTTTTGCAGAATTTTTTAAAAATCCTAATTAATATCTAATTAAATTTGACATAATTTCTTTAAAATTTTTAAATTTATTTATTTCATACGTACCAGTATCTTGACAATACTGGCCCACATATCCTGGTTGACAATGACACTTCACTTGACCTATTCGTGTTATCTCACAGCTTTCCTCATTGTTGTTGCAAGGGCATAGAATACAGGATCCCAAGTAGCTGATGGATCGATCATTAGTATCTCTATAATAACCTCTGGCACAGGATTCACAGGATGTTCCTACATAACCAGTAGGACAGCGACAAACTTCCACTTGAATCGCTCTCTTATTACCAGTTTGATGCTCTACGGCTGTATCCAGACTTATGTCGCTAATATAAGTAGCTGTCATCCATTCACTATGCGTTGCACGAACCAAAATTGCTTCTAAATTAGATAGCACTGTCATCAGATCGATTCTCGATGTAACATGAGGTCCTTCGGTAGTCAAACGTTTCCATTCCGATTCTCTAAATGGTACCGAATAAGTCAATGGTATATCAGGTTGAATTTCAGTAGGATTTGTCCAAAATAAAGTAATCCCATTTCCAATTAGTATAATATCTTGATCTTTATAACTTTGAGCACCAGAATAAGCAGTAATGTGTTGAGTTAATGTTAGATTGCCACCATAACTTTTGACTTTATTGCCAGTGAAAATAGCTGGCAAAGACCAGAATAGTCTGCGTCCTCTGCTATCTGGATAACGATATCCTATTTCGTTTGTAGCAAAATTTAATTCAAAACCATCATCTATGATTTCTTGTCTCGACGAATCTGTTAAAGTGAAACCGTGTTGGTTGTCATAGACCCACATAGGTATTTGCTGAACATACAGAGAACTCTCATGACATTGATCAGTTAATCCACTACAGTAACATTCGTTGCATCCATTTGGATTTTCCGCAGATAGTCCAAATGTACCTGAACGACACCTATTACATTGAGATCCTTCAACGTTCCGTTTACAGTCACATGTATTTCCGATGCATACACTACTGCGTGAACCAAGTTCGTTACACATACAAGGTCGTTCTGTACTATAGGTACAATCATAAGGAGTTCCTCGAGTTGCATCACCCTCATATCCGCTCTCGCAAATATCACAAAAATCACCAGTGGTATGATGAGCACAGTTCTCACATACTCCAGTATCAGGATTGCATTGGTTGGAATGACCATTGCAATTGCAAGGTTCACAAATACCTAAATAGAGGCCTTCGCTTGCTCTAGTATAGCCAACATCGCAATCCTCGCAAGATAATCCTTTATAACCGACTGGACAAGTGCATTCTTCTACTTCCACCGCTCTAGGTTTTCCTGTATTGTATTTTTCGGCTGTATCTAGGGATACTAGCGATAAGGCAGCCTCATCGGTATGAGTAGTATACGTGGCCTTGATTTTAATTGCACGAACATCAGCAAGGGCCATTAGTAAATGTTCTCTGTCAGCTTGTGTTCCATCATTGCGTTGCCAATATTGTTCTAAGAGAGGAACAATAAATGTTTGTGGAGTGTTTGGTTCGGGAAACTCTCGAGAGAAATATAACAGGTTGATATCATTGGCACTAATTAATTCAACGTCAGCAGCATTATTTTTTGAGCTCTGACCACCTGGTGATGGTACATAACGAACAGTATACTTGAGATTTCCGCCATACGAAGTAATTTGATTGCCTAAAAAGATACTTGGTAATTGCCAATAATAAACATCATTGTTTCCGCGATTAGGGAAATCACTATAGATAATTTCACGATTAACTGCGTCTAGACGAATACCATTTACAATTGGTAAAGTGTCTGAACTTTTAGATTCAATAAGAGAGAAATCTCTGATAGAATTAGTAAAAGAAACTCGAATCTGAAAAGAATATTATGATATCATGTTAATTTTATAAAGGATAAGTTTTTTATTAATTGCAATATAAAATACTCACATCATTTCTATACCAATTGGAGGAAACGCATTTATTAGTAATGCCCATGCAAAAGCAGCTGATACAACCAAACTGATTTTTCGTTGCCAAATTGAATGTGTTTGCCTTGCATTGATTGCAAGTAAGACCCGTGGCATATAACTATAAACCATTTTATTTAAATCCAATACACCAATATCCTTAATCATACCATAGTTATAGTAATCATTTTTATCTATTTCAAATTGTACTTACTTTATAAAAGAGTAGAAATATTTCCAAGTTAAATGACAGCATAAATAATATTGAATACATTATACAAACTTATTTTATGTGAATAAATAATTTCTATTCTTTTTCTTATTTCTATTTTTTTGCAAATTTCTATATAGTTATTCGATTTATAAATTATATAAATAATATATATATATATATATATATATATATATATATATATATATATAATAAGAATTAAAAATTTAATACCTTGCACCGACATCTTCCAGTGATAGGATCTGCAACTAAACTTAGGCTACCATCAGGATCGCAACGAGATATGGGAACACACATATCTCCTGGAATAAGGGGATTTCCTTGGTATCCTACATCACATTGTTCACACCTACGACCTATATATCCTGGTGGACAATTGCAGGTAGGCTGACCATCTGAGCCAAGCTGACAAGTACGTGCAAATCTATTTCAGACAATTTATATGTAGCATAATCTTTTCATTTTAAATCTCATTTCATTTTAAAATTTATAATACTTTTTATTAAATATTCAATAGTATCTTACTGATTAGATGGATTGGTGAGTGGACAAGGACACATTTGACAAGGAATGTTTCTCGAAGGATCTCCATAATATCCTGAAGAACATGGTGGTTCATCTCTGTAACATTGTCCAAGCCAAGGACCAGACTGTCGTCTTAAATATCCAGGTGCACACTGCTCGCATGACAAACCACTATATCCTACATAATTATCACACTCCATGATTATTTTAAATAGAAATTGAAAGATATATTAAATTAAAGTAACATTTACCTGAAGGACATTCACATTCTTCAACATAAGATGCTGATCCAAGTCCAGTATTTCTTACATCAGCTGTGTCCATCACTATATTAGTAATTCGAATATCCAAGTATGGAGAATTATCATACTGTGCTCTAATAAATAGTTTTTCTTATCAGTTTCAGGTAATTTTATATAATATTTATTAAATTAGCATACATACTTAATCAGAATATTGTCCACATTTTCTAGTGTCATCATGATATCTTCTCTTGTAGCAGGAATTTCATTCCATCCTTGTTGTTTATACCACTCGCCTTGAAAAAATCTGACAATCTCCTCGTTATCGTAATTCGGTATTAATTGCTTTCCTCTATGCACTAGACGATAATTGTTCCCGCTTAGAATAACTGATGGTGCAGAATTTGCTATACCAGTTCCATTAAAACGTACTCTGTATTTCAGATAACCACCATAGGATTTCAATTGATTCCCATAATAAGTCTCAGGTAAGGCGAAGTAAGGAAGTTCCGTATCGGTGCTCGATAACTCTGATTGATATAATTGTACACCATTTCGATCTATACTTCTCAGGACTGAGATCTGTCCAGTGATATCATTTAGAATTTGAACGTTTGGTTGAAATTTGACTTCTATGATATTGTGACGATCCATTGGTGGAGGAATATGATAAGTGAAGAGATTGGCACTATGACATTCAGTAGCGACACCGAAACAGAAACAGGAAATGCACTCGTCTGGATTTCTGGCTTCAGAATTGAACATTCCTTTAGGACAAATATCTCTAATAGACTTATTTACCATGACGATAGCGTCAGGTATGGCGAATACAAAACCAGCATTGTTCAATCCTTCACAAGAATAAGCTCCTTGATCTTCTGGTTGAATGTTAGGACATGTGAGTGTTCCAGTTCCATTTATAGATGTCATGGTACATTTGGGAGGGACATGGCCCCAATTAAGACGCCAATTGATTTCAGGAGTAGGCACACCAATTGCTGTACAGGTGATTGTTAAAACTTCCCCTACATTCAATGTAATCATAGGGACAGGTGGCTTCACTATAAAAACTGGAGCTATAATAAAAAAAAAGGAAAAATTATTTACATCGAACTTTTCTTTATGTATCCTATATTTAGATTATATCAGAAAAAATACATACAACATCCTATTTCATCGCTAGCATCTAAACAATCCTTTTCCATATCGCAATGATAACTTTTAGGTATACATTGGTTATTACTGCTACAAGCAAATTCTGTAAAGCGACAGGGAGAGCCTGGTTTGTTCGGGGCACAATTTTCTTCATCGCTGCCATCGGCACAATCTTTGTCACCGTCACAACGCCATAGTTTACTTACACACTGAGTATTATTGCAACGGAATTGATTGGGTTCGCAACCGTGTGGACCTGTTCGATACAGTTAATTTCCCTTCAGTAAGAAAATTTCCAGAAAAATATCAATAATAAATAAATTATGAAAACTTACTGCAACGCATTTCATCAGAACCATCGGTACAGTCTAATCTATCATTGCATACATATGACTTAGGAATACATTCACCGTTGCTACAAGTAGCTTCATCATATTGACACACATGAGGTCTGCTTGTTGCTGGTGGGTCGACTACATGGAGAATGAAAAGGTGATTGCTTTGTTTTATGTAATTTTTCAAACTATAAATTTTTTCAAGTTCAAAGATACATACATTTTTCTACAGTAAGATATACGCTAACTTGTTGGCCAGGAATGGATAAAGGATAATCAACAGCCTCGCAAATGTATGATCCCGAATGATTCAATTGGATATTTGGAATTTCCAGACGTCCATTGATATCTCGACTTCCAGGTGGCAGAGGAAGATTATTTCCTCGTAGCCAACGTACTTTAGCCCGAAGAGGACCTTCGTCGCGACATTGAAACACAACTTCGCGACCTGATTTTTAAAATAATAATATTCTATTAAAATAAGAATAACTTTTTTTCTTTTTGTCATTAAGTGTTATTTGTGTGGAATTATTTGTAGTATTTTTATAAGTAGTTTATGTTATGAGGAAATTTTCACTATTTGGTGTGAGTAAAATTTGTACATGTAACGATATATGATATTGTTTTGAAGACATTGATATTGTTTTTAAAAACGATCTCACAAAATCATTAAAGTATTTATCGTTGTATAAACATATTTACATGCATGTTGCATTTATTGTCAATTACAAATTAATTAATGCGAAGCTTTCAAATTTGTAAACAATTCTGATATTATAATTCTTAATGAACAAAATGGTTTTCTTAAATGAATATCCATAATTAAGATGAATCATTAATCACATATTTTATGAATCAAAAAATTACATAGCAATACTTGCACTTTTTCTCCGTAAAATCTTACCTTGCTTCGCCGGATCTGGCCAAGATAATAATTAAAATCAATTAAAAATCTTTATTATTAATCAATCTCTAATAGTTTATATACTATTGTATGTATATTTTGTGTAATTGAATTATTATTATTCTATAATTATAATCATTGAAAGTTTATCAAACTTACTTTCTTTAATCACTTGCTCACTTGGATAGGTCTTCAAGCTAAGGCTGGATGGTTCTGTGGCTATATAAACAAACAAAAAAAAAATCAATAATGTGCATTACATGATACAATTAAATTTTAATTAATCAATTTAATTACGTACTACAATATTCTTCATCAGATCTATCTCTACATTCTGGTATTCCATTACAGACAGAAGATTGAGGTACACAATCCTTGTCTCTAATGCACATAATGAAACCAGCTGGACAACGACCAGGCATTGGATGGGAACCAACATGATCTGATGGAATTTACAAAAAAATATTAATTAAATTAATAATTAAATTAGTAATTTAATTATTAAATTAATAATTAAAGTATTAATTAAATCTTAGAAAATTATCAATATTAATCCTAAAAGTCAAAATAAACTAAAAAGTATACAAAAATAATAGAGATATGATAATGTGACAAAGATGGGAACATCTTATCCTCAAATAAATCTCAAGATATTTTTTTTTTACACTATAACTTTTGTATTTATTTTAGTTTTTAAAATCAAAAAATATTTCACGAATATAATAATAATCTGAATATTATATAACAGTATATTATTATATAATATATTATTATATATATTATTATATAATAACAGTTATATATAATTAAAATATTATACTTACCACAATCATCTTCATCAGATCCATCAACACAATTAATATAACCATTGCATTGATCCTCAATCCTAATGCAATTTCCATCTGCGCATTGGAATTGATCTTTGCCACAGCCTACAAATACATTGAACATTGTAATAAATAAAATCTATATCTTTATTATTATTTTAAAAAAATGTGCGTTCGTTAAAAAATTTGAACAAGACACAAAGAGACTCTAATAATCTGGAAATAATAATGTTCTAAGGGATGAAAAAGAGCATGAATTACCACAGTACCTAAAAATGCTAAAAATAGATATAAAATTATTAATATATGTACAAAAAATGCATGTATCTGCACGCATAAAAAAACAACGCATAGAAAAATTCAACAACATCTCATATATATTTTTCTATACGTGTTAATATATATTAATCAAAAACTTCACTATTCTACTATAACATTTAAAATACTAGATAACATCAATCGCTTCCAAGGAGAATATTTATAAGATAAAACATATCCTTTCTCTCTAATTTTTAATCTACTAGATTAAAGATTAATTAAAAATTAACTATATCACATGCCATAACAACAGTATTTATAAACTAAGTATCTAAGTTTGTATTAACTGGAATTCAATACATCAGGCAATAGATGCATTAAAAATTACATAGGAATGCATTGAACGCGTGACTGAGTAAAATTCATTCAAGTATCTACTCGAACAACCTATACATCGTCTATTCGGTTGCTAACACAAACTCAAAAAAAAAAAAAAAAAAATACAGAGTCCAGAAAATCTGTGGCGTCCAGGATTTCCAACGAATGTCTAATTTCATTCATCAAGCCATAAATAATCCTTCAAACCAAAAATTATTTTCAATTCAATTAGATTATATTGGAATTGAAATTCCAAATACATAAATAGTATTACTAGAATAATTAGTTCCTGTATAAAGTGATCGCATTTCTTTCATTTCGTTTTCTTGGATCTTATTTTTTTTTTTTTTTTTTTTTAATAAACTTTCACAAATAAGCTTATAATCATTTATTCAGGAACTGCAATAACTATTTGGATAAATGTTAAAATATGTGTATACTATTTAATTTGACAATTGGAATAGAACTAAGCAAAACTATATTCAAAAATAAAATGAAGCGAAGAGAGATGGACGCCAACAGATCATCAAGGTCTGTCCAGTGATCTAACCGAAGCAATACTGTTCGTCGGTAAAGTCGCGGCAATCGTAGAAATGGTCGCAGTGGTGAGTTTCAGGGATGCAAGTGCCATCAGCACAAATAAAATCATCGGGAGCACAACTTCTTGGAGTGCTCTGATTAGCAGGCGCTTGATAATCCGGATTGTAATCCTTGTTATCCTGAGTCTCGTGGATTAGCCCTACCAGGTTGGTTCTATCCGACGTGTTCTTACCTAGAAGTAACCGAAACTGAACAAAACACCTTGTACATGGTGTTTCTCTTTCGTTTTGCTTTTCTTTTTTTTTTTTTTTTTTTTTTTTTTTAACGATCTTTGCCATCTCTGCAATTTGAAATTTAATTCTACTTACTATTTGCGAATCCAGTTTTGTTTCTCATCTCTGTAGGAAGAGGTAATCTGATCAATTCGACTATTTTATATGTGATTTACCATGTACCTCAGATTGACAGTGTATCATTTATTAGCATAGGAAGATTAATAATATTGGATTAATACAGATAAATTTGGATTCTAGAATCTAGATTCTTCTACAATGTCTGACGTTATATATCTCAGTGTGATGTACAATCTGAAGCACTTGTGATTGAATCAGTGCACGTACAAACTGGGTGCGGCACAATTTAGATTGCCTCTAGCAAGCGGTGAACACGGTGTCACGGCCAAACACTGCGTGTGCACCTGGTGCGTTGCGTGATCTACTGTGGATCAAGTGTGCAATACCGAATAGAGCTTATGTACAGACAGTGGAAACGGCCACGACCTGGTCAGACATCAAAAATCCTCATGAATCTTACTAGAACCTTGAGAAACACGTGTTTCGCTATGAGTTATTTGTTCATCCTGTACAAGTATATTTCAAATATTACAATCTAATTCCTCATTATCCATTAACAGTGGTTCTCATTTGAGAATACATACATCAGAAGTGCATGTAAAAAAGTGTTAAATATTCTTTTTTTTTTTTTTTCATATATTGTATACACATATATCAGAAAAACAAACAGCTAACAAACTTGACAATATATTTCTCATGGAATTAGATAAATTCAAGGATGTTCAAACGAGTTTTTGCTCCTGGTTCTTGCAGCCTTTTCCACCAATTTTTGGCCAAACTATATTTCCCTATATGATATCTAGGACATGTTTCTGCCGGTGCACACGTGTTCCTGCTCAATTTCTCTTTTCCACCATTCTAAGCTGTCTCTTGGTGACATATCCCTTGACCTACCTTGAAGACAGTTGGCCTCGTCGTCTGCGTAAGGGCAGTCGGCTCGTTCGTCGCAGACAGCTGATTGCGGAATGCAGGTTCCATCGCGACAAGTAAACTCGTCCTCGCGACATCTTGGTGGTTGAGTCACACCATTATCTGCAATTTTTAATATTTTTGTAACTTTTTTCTCAACAACATATCATTTACTGACGATTCAGGATAAATTGGATGCACTAAGACAGTATAATTGAATTGGTTTTGCTTTTTTTTTTTTTTTTTTTTTTTTTTTTAACACTATGTAAATAAGAAGGACTAAGCATTTTCAGAGATTGATCATCAATTCAAGAAAGAGACTTTTCTACGAGTTTTAGAATGCTTCGAAGAAAAAAGAAAAAGAGATAAAGAGTTCCAGAAAGGTCCGGAATTGAAAAAGCACCATCTCGAACAGGTTCGAAACGGTTTGAAAACCCTTACTGCAATCGCGTTCGTCGCTCCCATCGTGACAATCGATGTTGTTATCGCAGAAGAAGTTTTTGTTGATGCACACTTTGTTGTCACATGGTAACTGACCATCGGGACATTCTGAAAAGACAGGCGACAATTAATAGAGGAACTGATGATTTCAAAATCGATATCCAAAAGAAACTAAAAAAGAAAAAAAAGAAAAGAAGAAGAAAGAGAGAGAGAGAGAGAGAAAAAGAAGTGGGTAGCAGTGTGCTCGCTTCCCTAAAAAATCCATAAATACCATCTATATAACATAATGCCGTGTATATTATTCTAAAGCGACAGAAGAGAGAGAGAGAGAAAGAGAGAGGAAGAGATCCGACTAAATAGTGAGAATTCAATAGAAAAAAAAAAACTAGAAAAATAAAAATGGATGGACAGCTTTTGATCGATTTTCTACAGGCCTGCGGCATAATTAAATGTAGAAAGAGAGAGAGAGAGAGAGAAAGAGAGAAAGAAAGAAAGTATAATAAGTGGCCTGTGATAATTAAACCGATCGATATACCGTCGAGATATCAACAGGGATAAAAATCGTCGGACAAACAGCGTGCACACTGCCGGATGTCATGCGACGTTTTAAGGAGCGCACATGTACACCGAACCCGAATCGGCCAAACTCTCTACGGCGTTCATCATCGGTATTTATAGATAAGTAGAAAGATAACGATTGGAAATACCAATGGAATATTGACACTGTTGACTAAAACTTCTTTTTTATCGTTCCTTCAATGTTTAATAATATTTTTTTGTATTATTTTTTTCATTTTTTAATATTTCAATTTCGAATCTTGAATTGCTTCGAATTCTTATTCATATTTTTCGATATTTTCCTTCCGCGTGGAGGAAAAAAAAGAAAGGAATTAACACGCGGATACATGAATTTTCTTCCAAGAAACGAAAAAGAATTTATAAATATATCAAAGTTTCGTTTCGTTGCACGATTGCTCTTTATCAAAGAGCAATCATTGTTATTGTGTAACGTGCTCTTCGATTTTAATGGCGCACTTTGAACATCGTCGGGATCGTGATTACATTCATTGTGATTTCAACACAGAAGGAAGCAATACATTTCCGTTCTTATCTAATAACGATTTCGTGATATTAATCGCTCGTGAATCGAGAGGCGCGGGAATTGATAGGTATTCCATTGGTATTGTATCGGTAAGAGTATCGGTAAGTATAGGAGAATTCTACTATGCAGCACGATAACTCCACGTGAACTACGTCCTCCCTAGGGAGCAAGAGTGTGTAATAATAATGTAATTTCAAAAAGCTTCATGAACGGTTTATAAACGGTATCAAACAGAAAGATCTAAAGGCAAAAGGCGATGCCTCGTAAATTCTAAGGCTATGACGTGTGTGGTGAGATAGTGAGATAGAAAAAGAGATAGCGAGAGAAAGAGAGAGAGAGAGAGAGAAGAAAGAAGAGGGAGAGACATACACTGGGGTTGATGGAAAGTTTTCCTAAATTTGTGAAAATAAATAATTGTAAAGAAATTGTCACTGTATTCAAATTTCCTCTCGACTCCAGTGTATGCGAGGAGGTATAATCCATTTGTTAAATTTATCGATCTTAGGATCCAGTGTACGTGCGCTGTGTAAAACTTATGATCTAATAGAGATATACCAGGATGGAATAAAAAAGATATAATATATAAATTTAAATATAAATATAAATATATATATATATAATATACATAGGTATATACAATCAGATATGTAGAATAGAAGAGGTACATAACAAGATCAGGCAACCTGTGCTGAAAGAGAAGATGAAGAAAAAGAAATAAAACAACGTACATGTGAGAGACAGAGAGAAGAAAAATGAAGAAAAAAAAAAATATAAGACAGATAGAATATTCGAGCCATAGGGAGATACATATGTATATATATATAGAATTCCTTGCAACAAAGTGTTCCACGTATTTTCAAAGTATCAGTTAAATAGTTTTGAATATTAAAACGAGACTTGATGTCGCGCTGAAACATATAAAGATACGTCGATAATTGTTAATTAAAACAAGGCTATAGAAGAGGATATGCAAAGAGAAAGAGAGAAAAAGAGGGATAAATTACTTGGAATTATTTTCTGATATTATTACATTGATATTATACATTTCTGATATTATCCCCATATATAATAAATACCTTCAATAAGTCAAAGGTTCTAATGAATCTTACAGACAAACAGTATATTTAATGCTCTTAAAGCAATTAAACCGCTTTGTTTCTGCCGGTAGAACTGACAATTTATATTTGATTGTTATTCTAACGCGAAAATAGCTCTTCTGTAGGATTCATTCGGAGTATTTTTTTTTTTTAAATAAAATACGAAATAACTTGCGAGAGTGAGTTAATCGTGCGATTGTTAATGGAGAAACGAGTCAAAAATGTGCAATGCATTTTTTCAGCCCGAGTTTCCGTTCTCAAGAAAAACGACTTGAAAGTCGGTCGCGAGTGAGAGCTTTTAGCGTAGCTATTCCAACGGTTCTCAACCTATTGCTTTTAAATTTTTAAATTTAATTAATTCGCCTTATTTTTTTAATTAAATATTAAGATAAATTTTTAACGCAAAATCAATTGTTCTTTCAATAACTTCAATATACAAACAAATAAAAATCATTCGTTAAATTTACAAAGATATTTGGAGAATTAAAAATTAATTGGAATTAAAGATATATTTGAAGATAAAATGAAAATAATATTATAAATAATTTTAAAGAGAACCACTGAAATGCCGCGAAGAAGTACACCACCTTTCAAGTTCGATTCTTTTCAAAAAGAAAAAAAAAAAAAAAGTTTCTTAGAAGGAACTTTTCCTACATCTTTCCTCCATATTTTTTCCTTTAAAGAACAATCCCATACGAAAAAATCAAGATCCCCACCCATGTGAAAAACCCAAATTTTTTTTAAAAAATTCATCAATCCCCTTCGAACCAGTTCGTTAATTTACATCTTTCGTTTTAGAAGATTTCAAGCATTGAAATCTCTATATGAAAGCTTCCATAACCTCAAAGATGTCCCTCTAACGTGAGATTCTGATCGCGGCATCGGGATTCAAGCAGCGAAAGACGGGCAGTCAATGTCCGCCTCGGTCGATAAGAACGTGGAAACGAGATTAACGGCTCTGCACGGGCGGACAAGAGCGGGCTGGCATTAGTTACAGCTTCTTAATTGCCGTCTTGAAGACCGAGCCGCGACCAGGGAAGAGGTGGAGGGCTCTCTCCGCTATCCCCTGTGTACGCATCGATTTCCATTCTCTGGCTTCTCCTCGTTTTTCACGCTCCACCTTGTTTCCTCGCGCGTCCATCCGATGAACCGACACGTTCTATCTTTTTAACGTACTCTCTAATTCCTTTCTACCTTTCTACCATCAAATTTTTGGATGGAGGATACGAGGAGACGAAATTTGTTACAATCTGAAACTTTTAATTGGAATTCGATGGAAATTATTAATTACTGAAAATTAAAAATTAAAGTTTTCTTAAAGATTGATATATCGATATTGATATAAATATTTTTTAGGTTAAGTTAGGTTGGATGATAGAGATAGAAAATGTTAAGTAGAAGTTATTTATATTATTTCAAATATGAATTCAGTGATTTATTATACCTTAAAAGATTATTGTATTATATATAATACGACTTCGTTTTGATTCTATGTTTTTTTCTTGTCGTAAAAATTCTTCATTTTTTGAATTCACAAAATATCGATATATATGTCATTCGATTTCTGAAAAAGTTACAGTGAGAACGAAACTTTGAAATATTACTTCCATAGGATGCGTCTTACATCGAGAAGTCTCAAATTGTAACAATGATACGAATTCAAGTCACGAAAATTTAAAATTTTTCACAGTGGAACATCTTGCGTACGTTGTCATCGTAGAGAAGTTAAAATATATGGGATAGATGCGTAAAAAAAAAAAAAAAAAGAAACGCGTGCTAAAAAATATATGTTAAAAAAGCTTCTATTTTTCCCTTCATGAAAATCGGTTCTTTTATACGATACAATCCCAAAAATATCGAAACTCAATGGAATAATTTATGATGCGATTTCATGAGTTTAACGCGAAAAGATTGGAAATTGACAGACAAGGAAAACGAGAATAAAAATAGAGAACCAGTCCAAAGTTGGTTGATTTGTATTACAGGCTGCTATACCGCGATCGATGGACATTAAACATGATTGTTTAATCGCAATCCTCTGTGAGACGAGTTTTTTCTTTTTAAATTTAGAAATTTATTCTTTGAGGTATTCCATTGTCTAAATATAAATTCGCAAAAAATGGAGATGTGTTGTTGCAAAAAAAGAATGAACCCTTTCGCGTAAATTATGCTTCTTGCATTATGAAAAATAGGGCGCAGGTGGTTTATGACAGCAGTTCTCAACCTATTGTCTCAGTAATTAAATTAATCATAAATTTTTATTATAAAATAAAATTAAATCCAAGTCAAACAAAGCAAATTTTATTTTGTGAGGATAAATAATAATAATCTCCGTTAATAATAATTTTTTTTTATCCAAAATCGTACAAAAATAACACGATCAAAGAGAATTTCTCAGTAATTTGGTTAAAAATTTGCGACATCAAGAATGAGAACCACTGATATATCAATTTTCTCCGGGGATTCCCATATAGTTTTCCTATATCGACCGTTGATCACTAGAGGACCGATCTCATTCGAATCTATCGATATAGCATAGCCTGCAATGCGAATCAGTTTAGATCGATAGATAAAAAAGAGGCAAGCAGATAAATTGAGAAAAGTGGCGATCGTACGGCAGTTGATTTCGTCCGAGCCGTCCGAACATTGTGGTCGACCATCGCAACGTCTCTTATTGTCCAGGCACAATCCGTCGTTGCATCGAAACATTCCAGCTGGGCATTCACTTACTACAAACACGATCCCCAAAAATAGCCAGGTGGTTTTTCATTAGAGCATTTCGTGCAATGGCGCGTATACGGACGAAGAAAAATAACCTTACCGACAGAGTCCATGTTCACTTTTAATTATCATATGTCGATAACTTTTGTGATTAATATATATTCTAATGTATTTATTCACAAAAAAAAAGAATCGTTTAAATTATTAAAAGAGACATATGAGACTCCGTTACCACTCTTGGCCTTAGGCTTCTTTGCGTGCACGTTGGTCCATTAATTCAAAAATAGAAATGAAAATACTCACATCTATTTGATATCTCCAATAGATATCCTGAAATGTATACACAGTTCCTTAACTCTTTCATTGTACACGACACATGTTTTATAATGATTAATTTATTATTATATAATTTGGAATTTTTTTTTAGTTATAAAACTTGGAATTTAGGAGACAATTCTATTGTTGAATAATATCGTTTCAATGTTACTTTGAAAATATAATGGAATAAAAATTTTCCATTTTAAACCCAAAATATAATTCAATACAAGATGTAATAGTCCATTTCAGAAATGAAACAATTACATCACTGATTTTTATAGAAGAAATAATACACTAAAAATCGAGATTTAAACAACGAATGGGTTAAAAAATGACTAGTATACGTTTCAGGAAATGAAAATATAAAGAGTATCCATGACGCAATATTCATGATGCCATGCATATATAAGAATAACTTGTTCCCATGCAAAAACATGCATTTACATCATAACGGACTAAACAGTCACATTCTCCACGTACAAACATTTATAAAAAAAAAAAAATCCTATTTGCATTGATTCAAAAAATAGAGGGAGATTGATTTTTATAATAATATATTTTCCAATTATATATTTTCCAGCAAGGAAATGCGAATTGTTAGTCAATGATCAAAATCGTATCGTTTTGCATACAGATGAATAACAAAGGAGTCAGGGGATGGATGGAGTTAGAGATGCCATGAAATGTGCCTCATCTGTTAGTAAGTCTTTGAATAATATCTACTTATCCTAGTTCAAAACTAGTGTCAATCAAATTAAAATTATTCGATTTTGAAACGACAGATATATATATATATATTTTCTTTCTTTTTTTTTTTTTTTTTTAGAAAGTCACACGCAAAGGAACAAGACCAAGTGGGCCACAGGAACACTTTTCATCGATTGTCAGGACATAATTACCGCATCCAGATTCGTCAGATCCGTCAGCACAGTGGATAACATTGTCGCATCTCTCGATTTCCGCTATGCATTCACCACTGGCACATTTCCATTCGGCAGGTGAGCAGACACCTTGACACAAGTCACAATAGCTCAACAACAAGCGTTAAAGAAGCTTCGACAAATAAGGTGTAACTTGGGTGCCTCTTAAAGTGACCACCAGGATCATATTACCTCCCAGTCGTCGCTCAATCGCGAGAGGATTGTTTTCACGACGACGGTTCAAGGCACCAAAGTGGGGGGGAGGCGGGGAAAAAGGACGGTAAATAGGACAAATTCGTCACTCGATATCTTGCATCTTCTCAAATTTGAAAATCAATCCACCGATTCGATCATATTAAAATAATAAAAATTTCAATTATTTTCAATTATTTTAATTTTCATTTTCTCTTATCGCTAACTTATCTCTTCGATCTCGATGGTTTAATTTTTTTCTCATTCGATGAAAAAAATAAGATACATATTTGGGAAACGGCAAGAATTGCTCGAGTGACTTGAAACGGAAACACAAAGGGGGCTGGCTTACCACAACCACGCTCGTCACTGCCGTCGAGGCAGTCGAAGATATTGTCGCATTTGCGTCGAAGCAGAATGCATTGTCCGTCGTCGCAACGCATTTCCTTGCTCGGATCGCATTCCCTCGGGCTCTCGGTTGCACCGCCCGGCCACGGCTGGCCTGAACGTACATACACAGACAAGCACATTGCCAGCTACTAGACACAAGCTTTTCTACCAATGTGGAGGAAAGAGAAAGAAAGAAAGAGAGAGAGAGAGAGAGAGAGAGAGAGAAAGAACGAGGACAACGATGCTGTTCGTGGAATTAATTCAGAATTGAATCTAACTGGCCAGTCAGTCAAGGTCAACTCTCCACAAGCTTCTTTTGCACGCGTAAAGAAAGGAATTTAAAAGGGTGAAGACGTTAAACGTGTAACGTAAACAGGGATCAATGAATTCGTTGGCCCTCGTGGCCCGTCGAGTCATTTTTAACCTATCTCTGTCTTGAGTTGACATTTGAATTTATCGATGTGAGGAAGATCACTTTTTATCCAGATATATTTCTCGTCTTTTTCGTTACAGTATCACGAGATTTGAAAAGAGTTAAATTAGGTATCGAGCGGATGAAGTATTCGTGGGACACGGAGGTTGGGAACGAATATATAAAAGTTGGTATGCAATAATTCGTTCGAGTTCGTTTCCGACTAATTTAAGTTCTTCGTTGGACGAAGAGGGATGGATATAGATCGATTTCCCTTCTCTATATCCATTTCGCTTCGTCTAAATCGGAGTTAAAAAATTAGTTAATATAAATTGATAAATTCAATTTTTTTTTTTTTCTATCTATAGAGAGAATCTAAAAGTGTTTCTGCTTCATTCAAAGTGTCAAATAATCTTCCATATACTCAATCTTATCATAATGTTAATAATATAAATAAAAACCAATACGAGAAAAATTTGTTTTCACAGCAATTATTTGTCCGATTAAAACGAGGTCGGATAAGTAGGAATCTACTGTACTTTTGCAATGGCCATTTTCAGCGTGCCATTTTCAATCCAATATGATACGAAAAAAGTCAATCGGTTCAAAAATCTCTTCACCTTCGATTCAAATTTTCGATCGACAAATTAATCAATTAAACTTCAACAAATCACTTAATTGATTCGTCGACTGAAAATTTAAAAGAAATATAAGAAATTCTTGATCCGTTTGGCTTCTCCCAACCCACCGACACTTGAGAAACCAGTGTTAGATTCTCAAAACGAGGGATATTGATTTTTGAAAAAAAAAAAAAAANTTGAAAAAAAAAAAAAAAAAAAGAGGTTTCAGTAAGTTGGAAAAACTAAAGCCGGAAACGAAGGAGGCTTCTTGGCCAAGTTTTGCTTATATATCAAGCTAATGAATTAATTAGCGGTGAGTAAGCCAGCATCGTCATCCCCGTTGTCAAGTGCTAAGCAAACGAGAAAAACGCGTCTACCCAGCCAGGGGTTTCTACTATCCTACGTGGAGAGGAGGAGGGAGGGAGAGGGGACCCTCCCTCCCATAGTGTATTCGTAAACACGTTTCTTTGAAACGTGCAATAGGGCAGGGATGGAGTGGGAGGAAGAGGGGTCGAGTGTAATCGAATGGTGGATGGCATCATACAGCAAGCGAAATGTATCGTAAGGCTCATTTGTTGTTGGAACAAACTGTCCGAATGTTTCCCGCCATTTTCTCGAAATATATAAAATTTCGCGATATGAAAAATATTTCTCGTTTGTCGAGAAGAGATGTAAAATTTTTCGCGATTTATAATCTTATTATTTCTTTCATTTTTTCTCAAACAAATGTTAATCAAATTTCCTTGAGATTCCGTTTATTCATTTTTTTTTTTGAATAAATAATAATCACTGAAAAATAGGCGGAACGTTTCTTCCAACATCGTCGAACGTATCACATCGCACAACAAAACTCGCAAGATCAATGTTAAAATGCTCAAATTGTATCGATTTCCTTTCGAATTTTATATAATATTTTGTTTTTTTCCATTCGATTATTCTTTCCACTGTAATATAACGGAAAGAATCCAATTTTTACGAAACCATTGATCGAGCAAATTTATGGATAAAAAAAAAAAAAAAAAAAGAAAAATACATTACATCGCATCACAAAACTCTCAAGATCAATGTTAATGATCAAATTGCATTGATTTCGTTCACTATTTTACACTTTTTTTCTTTTTCTTTTTTCATTCTATTAACTTCTTCCATTCGATTATTCTTTCGACGATATACACATGCGTGTAGCAATATCGATTCAATTTTTTTACGGAACCATTGATCGAGCAGATTTGTGGATAAAAGAAAAAAAAAAAAAGAAAAAAAATAAATGAAGAGGGTGAAAACTGAGCGTACTGATAGGTGGAGTGGCGTGTGTAATGGTTTCGTTAGCGCAATCTTCGTCGCTCTGATCCGGACAATCCGGTTGGCCGTCGCACCTGTAGATACCCTCGATGCACTTGTTCCCGGTGATACATTTGAACTGGGTAGGTGTGCATTCCCGTTCTGTTTATTGGGGGGTCGTTTGTGTCGCAGCAGGAATACACAAGAGCAGAGAATACACATTTATATATACACAAGTCGTTATGTCGACAATGAAAATGTTGTTTTGTATAAGGGGAAGGGAATTTCTTTTTGCTCGGGAGGGCAGGGATGACCGTTCATCGAAGAAGAATCAATCTTTTTTCGAAATAAAATTGAAATTTTTCTACACCTTTGTGTAATTCTTGGAAAATATTTGATCGATGCTGTAACTCGAACGGCGGCAATATTTATTTATTCTTTTTGATTCCATTAGAATATCATGTTCATGAATAAATTCCTCTTTATTGTGTAAGAATCACGCAAATTGATACGTAAAATAATAAAATGTAAAAGTTTTTAATGTTTGAAATCATTTTAAATTAAATTCGTCTCGAGCTAAGAAGATAGTTTTTCAAACAGAATTCGAATTTTAATTTGGGAATAGATTTTACAAGATGATATATAATAATTACGTTGGATAAGGATTTTTTTCACTTTCTCTAATTTTTTAAAAAAAATGATTAAAATTTATCACATCGATATATTTTATAAATGCAAGAAAAATTAATTTTCTTTTTTTTTTTTAATTTCCTTCTTCGACGTCGAGAGACACCTTGTCCTCCTCGATAATGGATAATAGTTGATTAATCAAGAGGGGTATCAGTTGTAGGGTTTCGATTCTGTTATGACATCACGAAAAGCTCGAAGCTCGTCCACGAACAACGAAAGCGTTCGACGAACAACGATACAGAAAGCTATATTTGCTTATTGAACAATACGCGAGAAATTCGTAGAGAATTCCTCACCGTAGATTCTAGCGTTTCGAACTGGAATTAAGGAAATTTCTATAACTTTCTATAAGACTCGTGAATCTATGTATACAATTAATGAGAATCTGGAGAGGCAAGGGTTAAAACTTTGAAGCTATCAATGTACAAATGTTGGACACCAATATGGTGAATAAAGCTTCAACACCTTTTTCTTTCGTAAAAAAGAAAAAATAAGAAGAAACCGTAAAAAATACTCCATAATAAAAGAAAAAAAAAAGATCAAATTATTTTGCCAAGTTTTAATTCAAATATTTTCCTCTATCACTGTTATCCTTCCTTCGATCTTAAAAATGTTAAAGCTTTCTTCATCCAGGTTGATGATCCACTGTAAGTTCAGATTACTTTGCAAGCAGAAGCAGAGGCCATCAGAACACCAGACAATATTTTCAATTCCAACGCGTTTCGAACTTTCTCTTACTTCATTCTAATTCGTACAAAAATATAACAATAATAATAATAATAATAAAATAATCCAAATTTACTTCATTTTTACCATTTTTACCATTTTTATCATTTTTACCATTTTTACCATTTTTACCATTTTTACCATTTTTACCATTTTTACCATTTTTACTTCGCTCTCGACGAAGATTAAAAGATTAAAAATAAAGTTACTTTAAGTTAATCACTTGTTTAAAATTAAACATTTATTCTATATATTATAGTTGATAATCTATAATTGTTTCCAAATTATCATTATCGTTATTTCGAACGATAAATTATGGAAATAACGTTTCAATTAAATTTTCCCCGGCGTTGTAATGGCCTCACACGATACGTAAGTGTTTAATATACCGCAGTGAAGCTCGTCTTCTGCCCGTGGGCAGTCGTCGAATCCGTCGCAAACGGAGCTCTTCAATATGCAAGAGCCGTCGCTGCAGGTGAAGTCCATAGAAGGGCACGGGGCCAAATCTACAGGGGCGCCACCGGCAAAAACAGACACAGCCTGGTATTCATGGTCAACGACCGCCGTCTCGAGCTCCTTTGTTCTCTTCTTTGTTTTTCGGCTCGCACCGATAATGTCGAAGCTCGAGCCGAGGTGATGTGATGATGGGTTTACACATGTGCGAAGCACATGTATTTGCACATATATATATATATATATATATATATATATATATATATATATATATATGTTCGAATGTAAATAACACGTATGTACACAAAGCACGCGAGAGGATCCAACACGTGGACGAGGCGCACGTGTGGAGAGAACACATTTAAAGCGTGGGGGCATATCGGTATATATATACATTGAAAGCATTTGTTACACTGGTGAAAATGGTATATATTTTTATTATATAGGGGGGGACTGCCAGACTGCGATACTGGATCATGACTTCACTTCGTGTTCATCCTATTGTTAGTTCATCCGAGTTTTCAATAACTATTGTATTATTGCTTTTGGTATTGTACGTGTCCTTTTTCGAACATTTTTTTTTTAATATCGCTGCATACGTGTTCCTTGAATTCGATGATTAATTTAATTTTATTCGCACGATCTCTTGATTACTATATAATATTAAGACTAGAGAAGTGACTCGAGAGGGCATCACTTGGTTTGGTATGAAAGTAAAAGTTTTAATTTGTGCGTGGAATTATTTTAAGTTAAATTGTCTTCAATAGTTGGTTTCGACAAAAAAGGATTAAAAATATGAGAAAATTTTTATATAACGTTTACTACCTGCTTGCGAATTTATATTTATATTTCTCACTTTTCTGAGAATTGGAGACTATGCTTTTGCATCAAGATAAAAAAAATGGAAAAAGAATTTACAATTTTTTGTTTGTTTCTTTTATAATTTGACATATATCTCGAGCTTGCTTTAGTTGCATAAAAATCTAAAATCCATTATTCTTCTTTAAAAATAGGATAGGAAAAATAGGAAAAAAATAATTCCTCGAGTCATTTTTCATCGATCGTTTCTTTCTCCAATGACAGGATGAATTACACGAGCCACGATACAATATTCACAACCTGGCAGTGCATCACGACTCCTCGATTACTGGGTATCATTTTATGTACAAAAGGATTCCTTCGAAGCTGACTAACACTTAAAGCAATCCGAACCAAGCCTCCCCCTCGAAGGCGATTAGGTATTATATAAAAGTTCTTTGTACAGTGTGTGAGTTTGATGGACGTGTAACTAGTTTCTCGTGTCTGCCTTAACTGAGGCTTTAACTGAGAATCTCGAACGATCAATCAAAAGAAACGGGAACGACGTTGTTTGATTTCCAAACAGAATTCAATCCCCAGTCTCGATCGTTCAACCTCGAGGATAAATAAACGGATCAACGAATTACCTTACTTATAATTCTTTAAACGGATAAAAAACGGATTATTAGATCTAGATACAACTCCCTTTGCATTCGTTATTGATCTTGACATCTAACTAAACAAAAAAAAAAAAAAATTAAGTTAAGCTCGTTCAAGTTTCTCAACTGCAATTGATATAATCCTACGAAATACGAATCGAATGCAAAAGAAGAATCCAACGCGGGTGAAGAAAGAAAACTATTAACACGTTCTACTCTTCAAGGCCTTTGTACAGCAAGAAATTAAACGTCACAAATTAAGTACTGACACATATACAAACATATATCTTCTTTCTAATAACATATTCATATTCTACCATTTTGAAGAAGCCACCACATTTTACAGCACTTTCAATAGAATCCCATAATTTTTTTTTTTTTTTTTTTTCCCCTCTCTCGACATCCAACGATATTTCTCATCGAAGAGCAAGTGTTTCGAAGATTTCCCACGAAGAGAGAAGTTAAAGAAGTTGCAGTAGTAGAATGGAAGAGAGGATATGTCGAAGAGTTAGCCTGTTTCTACCTTCCGTCTCACATTCAGCTTCGTCAAATCCATCGTCACAATCTATCTTGTTATTGCAGAGGAGAGAGAGATTGCCGATACAGGTCCCGTTGCAGAGGAACTCCCATGACATGCAAGTCGGGCCTTCGTCAGACTCGTTCGACTCGTTCCCATTTCCATTCCCATTTCCATTCCCATTTCCATCGTTCCCATTGTTATCACAGTTGAACTCGTCAGTGCTGCCCTCACAGTCCATCACACCGTCACAGACCTTGTCTTTCTCGATGCACGTTCCATCCTCGCAAAGGAACTGGTCCTGATCACACTTGAATATTTCGGTGGTATCCCACCAATCCATGCTGGTCACATCGCCATATCCTTTGGTAATCGTCTCTTCGATGGAATTGTAATCCGTTGCCCATTCTATCGTGCTATCTTCCTCGCAATTCTCTCCAAATTCGTCTTCCTCGTTTTTACTATTTTTGCACTTTGTTCTGCTCGTGGGAAAGCTGTTAACCACTGGCAAATTCGTGGAATACGTTTTATTACGTTGAGCTTGCTGCTCCCTTCGTTGGTCCACCGTTTCTCTCGATTGAAATTCTTTGAAAGTGTGCTCCGTCGATAATGTCGAGTTCAAAATGGGATGATTGTTAAAGTTGGTCCGATCAACGTTACCTCTTTTCCCCTCCTTGCTCGAGTTTTCTTCTCGAGTTTTCTCCTCGCTGATAATCTCTATCAAATTCGATGGCTCGGTCGGTAACGAACGATTTTGATAAAGAGGTCTCGCGAAGTTATGACCGAACACTAGCGCGAATTTTGAAACGTCTCGAGAGGAATCGGGGGAATTGTCGAAATCGGGACTGGAAACCGTGGAAGTTTCCTCGAAATCGATCAATCCAGAGTCGATCCTCCCGTCGTTTTTCAGAATTTTCTCGATCAATTCTTGATAATTCTTTTCCTTCATCTCGTACAACCTCTTCCAGTAATTCACGCACTTCGATGTGCAATCGTACACTTTGTCTTCGAAATTTTCCCTCGTAGGAATGGAGAGATCGGTGGATAGTCTCGAGTCGCTCAACAGATTTATGCGAACTTTGGAATTGTTTCGACCCTTCTCGAACAATTCTGTCTCTACTTTCGCCGATAAATCGTAACCCTCGCTCGGTATCGTAGAAATCGTTGAAACCGATTGAGTCGCGTTGGATTTTTGAGAATACAAATCGGTGAAATCGTGCTCCTTTCCATTTTCCCGTTCTGAACTCGTAGAAATCCTTAAAATGGACGGTGTCACGCTGTATTCGCGAAAATATTTAGTGAAACGTTTCTTCGCCTTCGAACCAACAATATCCGATTCTATAGAGTTCTTACTGGAATCGTCAACAAATATGTCAAACAAATTCGAGTTTTCCGTGGTTCTGGAAGAATTTTCCAACGATACAATCTCGTCTAATAGAAGTGTTTTAGCTTTTTCCTGGGCCATGTTTTCCTCGGAAGAATTCTTTTCTTTATCCACAATGGCCTCCAAACGTTTGTCCAAATCTTCCTCGGAGGACCAATTCGTGTTTGAAACATCCGAAGAGTCGATGTCGAAGCTCTCTCGTCGCCTTGAGATCCATTTCGTAACTGTTTCTGTACTTGTGCCGATATCTTCTTTCAAATCTTCACTTTTGGTCGACAATAATAATTTTTCACTTCCTTCCGTAGACGTAACGAATTCATCGCTCGTAAAAGACGATACATCTTTCATTTCCGATTCCGTGGTTTTCGCCTCGACTTCATCTTTCAACTTTTCATCTTCTCTCATCGTGGAACGTTTTATCTCCGTCGTAACCGAGATATCTTCCTCAAATTTTGAGACTGTGGCACCGTTTGTAGTTCTCCAAGTACTGGTCTCGTCACCTTTCAAACTTGTAGCTTGTAATTCATTGCGAAACGTCTCACTTTTCATTGTATTCGCCTCATTATTTATCCAAGTACTGCTCTCTTCGTTTCCTTCTTTAGAGTCGCTAATTTGCAATTTATCGTAAAATATCTCCATCGAGTTTGAAGTGGTTGAACCGATAATTTCCGACAATATTGTCGAGTTTTCGGGGGGGACGATCGCGTGGCCAAAAACTGGAAATACTCGTCTCGATTTATCCTCCTCCTCTGCCGTTTTCTCGCTTTTCTTCGACTTCTTCTTTGCACGCACCCTTCTCCTCGACGCACCGAGCGAAGATGTCTCGTTTTTCTTATCGCTTTTAAACCTCCTCTCCTCCTTGCCCAAATGCTTCTTCCTGTTCTTGTTCCTGCTCTTCCTCTTCTTGCCGACAACAACATCTCGATCGGTCACGTTTCTCACTTCCTTCAACGAACGTTGAAAATTTTTCCCAGGTTTCAAGTAATTATCATCATCATCATCATCATCATCGTCAACGATATTCTTAACTTCCTTCAAATAACTTCGAAAATACTTGTCCGATATTTTTGAATCGTCCCAATTATTTTTCTCGAATTTTAAAATATTCACTGGATACATCTTGAGATACTTGCTCGCGGATGGATCGTGGCTGACGTTTCTCTTCAAATTTTTCTCTCGATTCCTCTTCGAGTTCCGCCGCTTAAAACTGTTGTTATTGTTGTTGTTGTTGTTGTTGTTGTTGTTATTCCGTTTTCTCGACTCCAAAAACTTCAGAAACAAACTTCTATCGTTGTACACGTTCCTCCACAACGATTTTTCTGCGACGACGATCACGACGATCACATATATATATACGATTTTTCAACCAATTTTTTTCTTTCTCCTCTTCGAAAAGAGAGAAAGAGAGAGAGAGAAAGAGAGGAGGTTAAAGGGAGAAAGAGAGGATGATATCGAGGCGGGGGAAATCCTAGAAATCCCTCGATAGGGGGAGACATCAACGAGGGAAAGAAGAGGAAGAAAGAAACTGGAACAAGATGGCGGATCGTTACAGATCCGTTTCATTGTAACTGGAAAGTTCAAGAAGAAAATTTCCCTTCGCAATTTCTCCAATTGATGTCGTTAAAAATTCAAACGAATTATCATAGACGCATAATATAATTTGGCCACGAAATTGGCGCAATGATTTCAATTTTAAATATTCGCAGCAACAGGTAGATGTGTATATGTGTGTGTGTGTGTGTGTGTGTGTGCACGCGCGCGAGGACTCTATTTTCAAGGCCGACGAAATATTATAAAACTCTAAAACTCCCGACACGAATTTAATAATTCAAGGTTAAGTATTTTCCTCCAATTTCTTCCTCTTCTTTCCAGCCTCCAGTACTGGGATAATATTAAAACTTCATCCTCACCACGCACCAAGACCTCTCCTACACAATCCAATCCAACGTTTTCTAACCTCCGATATATTAATCGAAACGAAACTTTCTATCCAACTCGTCGTTCCAATAATAATCTTATATTGTCTAAACAATGTGAAACAATTATTATTATCATTATTATTATTAACGAGAGAAAAAAAAGAATTACACATTACGAATTACTCTCAGAATTTGCAACATTTTTGCCGAGTTGAAATAAGAAAAAAGAGGAGGAGACAGACACGGTGTTTCAAAATCCATCAGAGTGTGCGGTGTCGGTGTGTGTGCGTGTGCAATTGTGAGGGTATATATATATATATATGTGTGTGTGTGTGTATGTAACAGTAACAGGTGTGTAGAATGGTGTGAATGGCATAATTACCGCAGTCCCTCTCGTCAGAGCCGTCTGAGCACTCCTCCACCCCGTTGCACTGCAACTCGTAACCGATGCATCGTCCATCCGTGCAGCGAAACTCGGTCGCTCCGCAACCTGCTCCACACACCACACTCATGCACATTTAACCCTTTAACGGATGCCAACCAATCGTAGCCGCGCCCGTAATCGGTCGTTCGTCGTATGGGAGGAGAGGGGGAATAAAAAATGGAGGGAGAGCGCGGGAAATAAAAACATTTTTTCTTTCAACCCTTCTCCATTATTTCGATATGCGATTAATTATTTATGACCCGAGGAGAACTCTTGCTCGTTGGATTTCGAAATGTGGAAACACGAGTATTGGATTTGATATTTGGAAGAAATTTGTAAATTGTAATAATTGATATTTCATTCGCGAAAATACGTGTCAACGTGTCGACGATGAATGACGAGTGTTAATTAGGAATGTTGGAGCAGATGATGAGCATTTTTAAAGGTCTTTTGGACAGTGTTTTGACAATGGTAGTAACAATATTAATGGGTTGACAAGTAGATTTTAGTAGGATAAAATTATCGGATGACTTTTATCTAATTCTGTTGAGGTATATAATCGGCTAGCATTGATTTTTAAGTACATTAACTTCTATAAAGAGTTTCTTATTATTTCCATTCTTTTTTTCCTTCCTTTTACAATTTATAGAAAATTCAATTATTCAATACACAAATATAATTATTGAAGAATACTCTTTCCATAATATTGATTAATAAAATTCATTCATTAATCATTAATCTTGTTACTGATAAAATCGAAATCGAATCAAAAGAATTAAGAAACTATCTTTTAAAAAAAACAATTCATTAAACTGTGATTAAATCCACAATTAAATGGAGAAACAAATAAATCTATTTAACCCCATCGAAATTAACGTCCACACACAATGGTGGATCATCAAGTCGACTGTCTCGTCGAGAAGGAGATGATGGAGAAGGAGGAGGAGGAGGAGGAGGGGACACTCCTCCGTCCAATTGGTGATTTGGAACGAAAAGAAGACCCGAGTGAATGGCACGGTTAAAGGGTTAAAAGCGCAGTCAAGCTTCTCATCAGCCCCTGCTTCACAAAATAAAACACGCGCGGGCTTACGATTCACAAGCGTGCTCCCCTCTCGACGTGTTTCCTTTTCACCCTTTCCAGCCGTCGATACCCTCATTGTAAACCCCTCCCTCCCCCCCGTTACAGACCGTGGACCCCGTTCAGAATTCTCTTGCGATGATCAATAGCGTGGCGAGTGAACGATGACTTCAGTGCGATTCATGATTGATAATGATGAATGAGCCAATGATTCCGTGAAATTTCGAATCACTTTGAATCTTATGAATCGTGGGGAAATTCTTTTTATATATGATCATCATTTTGAAATCGTGGTACAATGGAAAAGACGATGGTTTTGCATAAAGAAGAAGTTGAACGTTGAATGAAGTTTTAAATTTTGTGATATAATAGGAAAAATAGGTATAGGAAATTGTTGTATATTTTAATAGGTGTTAATTTAATGAAATATCCCCTTTCGACTTACTCTATACTCGAAAAAAAAATGGATTTTCCTCGAGTATTTTTCTTTTCGTAGCCTTTGAAATCCAAACACGAAGAGAAAATTCCTAGAAATCGAAAATCCCTAAACTCGGGATTGCACCACGATTGCAGAGACATCTAGTTACATTTTCGAACGAAAGATTAGTTAAATAGATTTTTTCGATCAATTTTTTTTTCTTTTTCTCGATTGAATTATTAAATTCTAAAGTGATTCGAAGGTTGTGGCCCGATCGAAGGGGTAATCTTCGGGGGGATGGAAATCTGTTGAAGCGTGCCATGGTGGAAAATTACAATTGGGGATGGGGAAGAGGCCGCTTCCGGTCAGGGGTTTCCAACACGGGAGGAAAAAAAAAAAAAAAATACGTTCCAACCAAATTCACTTTGGATTCAATTTCCCATCGTTGAATAAATTTTCTTCTAGGATAACTTTAGGGGAAAAAATTATATCTACCCCTGAACAATTTTTTCGATCGAAGAAGAGACGGAGATTCATTCATTCATTCTTTCGGAGCTGACGCGATTCTTTTTTTCTTCCTTTTTTTTTTTTTTTTTTTTACTCGAAATTGAAGACCAAATTGAAATAAAACAATTCATCGTGAAGGAAAACGAGAATTTTACGAGATTATAACGATAAATAATAGATGGACAACAATAGAAAACTCGTCTCTTTCTCAGAGAGGTAGAAATTAAAGAGAAATCTTGTATCTTGTCTCTCTCTGTTGCAAATTGAATAAACGTTTTTTCCACAATGACATGAGAGTCAAACCGGATCAATTAACAGGTCGTCGCGATCACTGTTCACGATCGACTTGTTGCTTTAAAGAAATGAGAACTCGCACACGAGTGGTTCTCAAACACCTCAAAACCAACTTTCGAAACTACGAACGAACACGTAACGATGACGAGGTTATCGATCGTGACAAAGATGATTCCATCAGATCATTGGAATCCAACGTCTCTTTAAGATTCCTATCGTAACTTGGGAATGATTAAACCAATTTCTTCTGTTCATTAAAAGGCAAGAACGGGCTGACTCACCACACTGCTTCTCGTCCTCCCCATTGCGACAGTCTATGTTGTGATTACACCTTTTGTCGATGCTGATACAGGTACCGTCCAGACACCTGAATTGATCTCCGCTGCAGGTGGTCACTGGTGGAAAAAAAGAAAGAAAAAAATAAAAGAAATTAATTAGGAGAAGGATTCTTTTCTGATGTTATAAAATATATATATTTTTTTAATAAATAGTGTTAGTATAGCAATAAATATATAATAAAAGTGAAGAGAAATAAAATGAAATTGAAAATCAAAATTGAAAGTGAGATTGAGACGATTCTTTTTAAATTGTTAATTATTAATTTTAAAAAAAAAAAAAATTAAATAAATCAAGAAATAAAATTAAAACTGGACTGTGGAGAAATCTTTCGAATTTGGATTATTTAATTTTTATTTTATTTTATTTTATTTCTTCTCGATTAGAAGATAGATAAAAATATATGTCTCCACGGTTCAGTCGAAATAAAAATAAGGAAACATAATGATACCGGTGCAATTGTATTCGTCAGAACGATCTCTGCAATCGGATCTTCCGTCGCATCTCGCGGTTTGGCTCACGCAACTTCCGTCTAAGCACTCAAACTCGTCTGACCGACATCGAACTACGAGCCGAGGAACAGAAAATAACAGAATAAATAAAAGTTTCAAAAGGTGTGAGATATAAAAATATAAAATTCATTTTAAAAACAACGAGGCGCAACATAAATTTTAATTATTAAATTAAATAAAAAAAAAAAATTATATATAAGGTACGATAAGAATGTGACTACGAGCTTCATAAATTAGTCATTAGAATATTTAAAAATAGAGATGCGTTTCTTGTTAGTAACTTTTTTTTTTTTTTTTTTTAATATAGTATAGTTAAAGTAAACGAAGAAATCGTAAAGATTTTATTTTAAAAAATTTTTAATTCTTTTAAATATTCATTTTAAAAAAAAAATATATCAATTTGATCTGGATTAGATTTCTTTTCTAAAAAGGAGAAAAAATTATAATAATAAAAATATAAACAGAGACTTTATACTTTATACTTTGCTTTTCTACAAACAATAATTTTTTACGTATTTATTGCGTGATTTATTACGTCTCTCTTGGAATAAAATAAAATATTTTATTATGGTCCGACCCGAATGAGATTACTTTAAAAAAAAAAAAAAAATATAGTAATATAATTTCTGCAAAAATAATTTATCCACAAACATCATATGCTGAAATATTTCACGTTTTCTTTCTTAAATACGTGAAAATGAATTTCAATTCTGTACAAGTTAATTTATTTTAACGAAAGAATTTATATAAATAAATATATTATATTATAAATAATATATATCATATATTTATACCGATTTAAAAAATGGAAGCTGATATAACCTATTCATAAACTGCTTAAAATTGATTTGAACAAATTTGAAATATTTACAAAATTATATCGATATATATATATATATATATATAGATTCAGTGATTTAAAAATGGAGGCTGACAAACATAACCTATTCGTAAATTATTCAAAATCGTCTTAAAAAAATTTAAAGGAAGATACGAAGATATTTCGATATAAAATTATATTGAAATATACATCGATTCAATAATCAAATTTTTGAAAATAGAAATTGACAAATCTAAGTAAGATTCTGTTCAAAATCGATTTAATCAAAATTGAAAGGTGATAAACGTACGAATATAGACACGTTTGAATAGATAATCGATATACGTCGATCGAGTGATCGAATTTTTAAAAATGGCTGACAGACCTAACCTAAGTCGTTTTAAACCGTCTGGAACAGATTTTGAAGGGGATTGATCGGCGAGGGGAGGTGAAATGGAGCCGGGAAGGTCCGTTTATCGGGTCGACGCTTGTTCACAGTGGATAATTAGGCGGTGGAACGATGATAATGAATCGGATTATTCCGTTGCGCCTCGTCTCGAAACGGGAAGAAAGGAAGGGAAATAAGATTGCAAGAGGGAAGAGGGGGGAGGAGGAGGGGAGAGAACGATCGCGACTGCTCTCTTCGTTCTCCGTGCAATTAATTACTCGAGAAACAAGCGTCCATTATCGGGGCCAGTAATATGCTTCGGCTCGAACGATTACTCGGCCGAATAACCACGCGACGAGCGTTTCCGTTTCATCTGAAATCGAATCTTGCGCCATGTTCGCACGTACCCCCCTTTCTTTTCCACTTGTTTCTCGACCGTTTCTTCGAACGTACCGGGTGTCTTTTTTTTTTTTCTCAACCTGTCACATATTCTTTTTTTTCTTTTTTCCAATTTTCTTAAAATCAAAGAAAGAGAGTTTGGAGGAGGAAATTAAATTTCAGTCATTGAAACTCGTACTTTAGATTCAATAGAATTTTCTTTTCTATATCTAGTCGATACGCGTTATATGTGATATTTAGGGCACCCGGTATGTATCATCATACGTATCATTTCCCTCAAAGAGGTTCTTTGAAAGAAAATTAGTTTTCGCGTAGAAATTTTGCTGGAAAAGTATTTTACATCTCGACGCCATTGCATAAAGATCTTCGTTAATTATAAAATAAAAGAACTATCGTATTTTAAAATTTTTTCGAGTCACCTGGTGATACACAATAAAAATCATACTTATTTTAAGTTTTATAGAAAACATATCTCTTTCTTTAACGCGTGTAGAAGGCAATTTTGAATTTTAAAATATAGGTTAGGTTATGCATGTTCTCGTGAGTCACTGTCAAAAACCAAACATTTTCAAAACCAAAAAAAAAAAAAAACATGCCTCATTCGCATGCTTGCACAAGAAAATTAAAATGAGGCAATTAAAGTTCTCCTTTTTTTTTTTTTTTAGTCTTCAGAGTTCCTGCTTTATGCTTTTCGTTGGTGCGGTTAGTTTCGTACTTATTTTCCGACAATTTTCTTCATCCTTTCCATTGTTACAATCCATGACGCCATCGCATTGTTTCGAGTTGGATATGCAAACGCCCGGGGTGCATTCGAATTGGTCCTTTCCGCAAGCTGCAAGAATCGTATATATTCGATCTGATAGGATGAAAAAATTGTCCCAAGGACTTTTCCTTTCCTTTCTTTCCTCCCAATTTCCTTCGTCCAATGGATAGACGTTGATACACAAGTTGAAAAAGCTCCACGAAGGCGAACAGAGATGAAGTTACGAAGACGAGCACACAAATATATATATAATATATAATATATAATATATAATAAATATATATATAATTATATATATATATATAATATATTTTGTATATATATATATATAAAAAAGAGACACAACGGAGAACACATATTGCCATGAATGAAGTTTTATTTTCGATAGACGTGACAAGCTCGATGTTTGAGGTTAAGGAAGGGGTAAGTTTGAGAAATGATTCGCGAAGTTGGCGCCACTTACGCTTCACGGCCGGTTGCCATGAATTTTAGAAAAGAATTTTATTATAAATACGAGCAAACAAGATTTTATACAAAATCATAAGTTTAAGTTTAAGTTAAATTCCGTTGAAAATACTTTCTTATTTTAAATCGTTTACTCTCGTACACGATAGAATATATGCCATCCAATCGAAAGTATCTTGAAAACAATATCACGAAAAAAATGTCGACAGGTATGAAAAATTAACGTACGAAAAATTAATCAATTTTTCCATTTCATTTAAAAATATACCTTAAAAAAATTGCGTATAAATATTTATATACAAATATCCATCATAAACACATTTACATCTCGAAACGAATCCTAACGAAAATATATAACACTGTGTCAAGAATTGACAAATTCTTTTTACACCAATTAACCTTGAAAGAAAGATGAAAGTGGAGAGGAATAAGTAATGAGGCATAAGTAGGTGAACGGAAGAGATGAAGAAAAGCAGTCGTAGTATTAATTAGTGGGCAGAAGGATGTGGGATAGAGGGAATGGTCCCGCTGGGCTACTGGTGGTGTGGTCATTAATTAACACGCACCTGAGGAAATTTCGCGGAAGAGATTATAAATGAACAAGGAGTTACGGGCACGCGGTGCCTGTCTAATTTACAGCGGCAATTAGCTAACGATCGAGGATGAACGGCACTTCGAACGAAGCGCACACGGATGAATGGAAACGGAAGGCAGGCCACGAATTTCCATCGAGCTTCTATCCACCTCTCTCCAACGATTCTCCGAGTGAAAAATAACTTAACGCTTGGGATCCGAAATTTAAATACCGGGTGTCAATTTTCAATCGAAATTCATAATTTTTTAAAACTTTTCAATATACACGCGCACACAGTATGATTCGTGTGTATGTTTTAAGTTCGAAAGTGAGTCGAAACTTGAAAATTTTTAGAGTGTATATACCGAGTGTCTATTTCGATAACAACTCGGATTAGAGAAATTTTCCAAAAAAAATTTTTAACACGCTGTCGTAACTCGTAATTCGTATCATCGACTTTAAAAAGTAAGTTGAAACTTCGAAATTCTTAAAGTATATATGTATATATACCGAGTGAACTCAATTTCGAAGTGAACTCGAGTTATAAAATTTTATAAAAAAAAAATTTTCGAAAGGATGAGACACGCATCAGCAAGCATTAAAGTTTCATTGTTTCATTTTTTTTTTTTTTTTTTTTAACGAAAATTAATACTCCTCCTTTAATACATCAGACCGTAGAAAAATTCGTGGAGACCGTGTGTCGATAAGATCGAGACGAAATTGAAAGATGGATCAACGACAAAGGACGGGCCAACAATACTGCTGCTGCTCCATTTCATACGATATATATATATATTCTTATCGGAGGAAGATTGAAATTTTTGTCGATTCATTGTCCTCTTCTTTGAAAAAAAAAAAATTCTCAGATCGAAATCTATGTATAAAAATTTGACCCAGGCAACGCTATAAATAATTAAACACCGCGCAGAATGATAAAACATTCACGATAACGAACACACAGGTAACGCTTACTTGAGAGATGCGTTCTAATTACAATATGGCATACGTATGCAATACACGTGCATACCGGGTGTTCCAAAAATTATTATCAACAAACGGAAAAAAACTATTTTCTTTTTTTTTTTTTTTTTTTTTTTTTTTTAAGATACGAGGTTGAAAAACAAATACGGGGAGTAATTAATAGAGACAAAAGGTGGCCACCGTTCTTTCAACCAATCCCTCCCCCTCCCCCTTTTCTTTTTCCAACGAAAATTCGTTCCAACGGCGGAGCATTGTTACTCGTCGACATGCGAAACACAACTCTCACGTGCGCAATAATTACACAGAAGCTCGACGTTACGAGCGTGTCCCCGCGTGTTTCCATTAAACGTCGACGTTTACAACGCGTCCCCCTCCCCCCTCCCCTCCTTCCTCCCCCCTCCCCCTCCGTAGTCATCACCTTTGCACGCGAAAAATGGCGGGACACGCGATCGCCGGGGAACGCGCATTATAACCCGTTCTGGATCTGAATTTTAATCCACGGGATCGGTCGGCCAATTGCCTGTTTTTCTGCCATTATCTCTTAAATAATAGTCGCCGTCCGATTGGCCAACTTCGCAATTGCCACGATAATACATTTCCGCGGAGATGGAGGTTTATACGCGATGCAATCTGGAATATCATAATTTCTTTAAGATAGTACGTATCGTATCACGCTCTTTTCTAGTTTTAATTATCGTCGATATACCCTCCCCCCTCCCTTCTCTTCCTCCTCCTCTCAAGTTCTAGCGACGCAAGCCTATATCAATTCGATTCAAATCCCTCGTACGAGTAAAATTTCTTTTCCCATGAAAAGAAAATTGGGAAAATTTTCTTAGGAAAAGAATTCATAAAAATTCAGTCGATCGAGATTCTATCGACAACACATTGTAGGGGAAAAATTAGCCCACGAAATACGGACAACGATTTCGAACGATATTCGACACTCAACGGGGGACGATTCTCGATGAAATCCTCGATAATCACGTTCCTTCATTGGACGAATATTCGAAAGAGAGAGAGAGAGAGAGAGAGAGAGAGAGAGAAAAAGAAAGAAAGGAGAGAGGGGGGAAAAAATGGACACAAGTCCAAATTAATTTGATTCCATGGAAGCAACGAATCGAATGGTACGTGAGGTCGCGACTGCGCGAAAATCCAGTTACGATTGTAACGCGATTTGCCAAGTGCGTGTTCTCCCTTTCTCGCGCTCTAACCGCTGTGATCGACGAATATAAAGCGAATATATTGCGGCCACGTAAATTGGGAAACGGGCGGAAAGGCGCGGCGTGACACGCCTCGCCAAACGAGAAGTCGAGTTTTCGGAAGAGAATTGTTAAGAAGGAGGGATTCTGCGCAATTTCTTTTTTACCTTTTCTTTTTTTTTTTTTCTCTCTATCGTCTATCTCAGGTTCGAGGCTGGGCTCTCGTTCCACGAAACGATCAGACTAATAGATAAGATCGCGACGATTCTTTCACATTCCAGCCACGATTTCATTTCGGTTACGCGGTCGGAGCGAAACTTTCTAACCTCACTTTTTGACGCTTTTGAGGTTAGGGATCGAAGAAATGATATTTCGCGATATCTTTTGTCGGCGTTCAAAGAGTTGCAGTCGATTGAATTTGAATACGTAATTTATTCTGACGGGTGGAATAATGTAATTTTACGAGAAGGGAATCGTACATTTTGTATATTTTCCGTTTTTTGGAGAAAGAGAAATACGGTGGATATTTCGAGAGTAATTTGGAATCGCGCGCAAACAAGTATGTTAATTTAATCCGTTCTTTTTCGAAAAAGATAAAACTATTATACATCCACTTATAATTTTTAATTAGAGTGTATAAACACCAATCAATATCTTGCATTTAAGAAAAGAAAAATCTCAGTTCCCAAAGATTGAAAGTAAAAGAAACTTAACTTTTTAAAACGAGATACTACTGAAAAAGAAGATTCACAGTATAAAATAATCAGTTTACAATTTTTCTCTACAATTTCTTTTCTCTTCTTGTTAATATTTCTCTCACCCTTCCCCTTTCTTTTTTTTTTTTTTTTTTTTTTTTTTTAGTAATTCGTCAACAAACGTCATTAAGCGGCATTAATATCGACGTCGCAAAAACGGACAACGCCCCCTCCCCAACGCAGCCAAATTTAAGGCAGCCCCCGTGGCCGAACGAGATTTACTCGCGTTTATTAAGCCGCCCTAATAACCGGCTGCAATTTTAATCCGACGTTAATCTCCAGCGAAGCTTGCCGGCCCTTTCGCGGCCTCGGCCCTGGAATTTCATCCGTTTTCACAGGGTTTAATCCAATTCTGATTCACGTCTGGACCCTTCACGTGTTGCCACAACGCACCAACGTTGCGTATCGGACTGATGTTTTTACCTTTTCACTCTTGTATATATATATATATGTATACATTCGTGATTTGGAATAATCGTATAATTACGTATTCTTAGGTAATTTTTAAAATTTTGTTTCTCTTTTATTTTATTTCATTACTGGGTCTTATTGTTGAATCGTGTATAAAGTAATTAATCTCAATGAAATTTTTCGAAAAATTCGAGTAATATTTGATATTTTTATCTATTTTATTATTGGATCTTAAATTATTTTGGCCAATTTCATTAATCATGTAAAAATCATGTAGATTCGTTTAAGAACAAATGGGTAATTGTAATTGTTGGATGACTTTTGGAAGTCAGGTATTCTTTTAAAAACTTTTTGTTATTATTCGCTTATTTATCTTATTATCATCAGATTAATGCATAAAATGGCCAATTTCATCATCATCTGTAAATTCATTGAAAAATAAATGAATAAATGTACTTTGAGCAACTTTTTTTTTATCAATTGTTTAATTATGAAACGACAAATTATTACAATGAATTCGATTGTTTTCTGACACAGTTTTAAAATTCAATGCAACGTGTAAATCTCTCTCTCTCTTTTTTAAATGAAACTATCCAATCAATTCATCTATCCAGTTTTGGTAGCGAAGAAGAAACATAAGCCTGGGTGATATCCTCGTGAATTTTTTCAAGAAAGAAAAATCAACAGCGTTAACATGATATCCCCAATCCTGCGGTTTTATTGGAAGTTTTCCAAGCTGAATTAATCAATCCAGTTCCCGACACTGCTTTTTCCAAAATGAGTGCCAATTTTCAGGATCGAATAAATTTTTCAACATTCTTTTCAGAATCGAAGAATAAAATTTCGGTCCAAACACAATTAAACATTTTTCTCCAATCCCCAATGTTTCAATTCTAATCCAAATTCATCCAAACTCGTTCCATTTCTTTTTTAACAATACCAAATATAAATAGATAACGAAACAACAATTAATTTTCGCATCATCATGATGGAATCAAATATTATCATTGTACATATCATGAAAAAAAAAAAATTATAAAATTTATCCTCACAGGATAATAAAATATTCGAGAAACAACGTGTTCGAAAATTCCAAAAGTCGAAACGAGCGCGAAAAAATTGATTATATAAAAGTTGTTAAGTAATCGAAGTTTATTTTTATTCACACGTTTCTGTATCATCTTCTTCTCGATTTAAATTTGAAATAAACCAAGGCTCGAAACTTTTACGTTTATTTCGACTCGGCAAGAATCAAAACACATTTTTCAACATTCCACACATCTCCTCTACAAATAAATTACAACTGAAATATTTAATATTTAAGTAAATGTGCCACAATAATTATTTTCAACGGGTTCCAACGAAAATTCTAATCATCATTTTCAATAATACAGTTACACACTTATGCTTATGCGTTATATCGTGGCTCTCCATGCCGTTATCTTGGTGTGCTAAGGATTAACTATGAACGTGCAGCTACGGAGCGTGCCTTCGCAAAAGACGATGGAAATAATAAGGGGTTAAAACGAAGGACAGGAAGACAGAGGGTAGCTTGGTAGGCGGAAAGAAAGGGGGAGGGGGAAGGAGCAATGGCCTGAAAACGACTGAACGCACCCCATCCCCCTCTAGAATCTCTACTATCCTTGCACGGTCATCTTTTGAACAGGCTATTGTCACAGTTTTTGCAATTATAGGGCACATCCTGTAATACCTTAGAGCGATTAGATATAGTGCATATGAATGCTGTGGATTCTACGATGATAATCAGAAAATTGGCCTTTTCGTGGATTTTATTCGATTTTGCGTGTAAATTGTTCGCCATGCTTTGGATAGTATTTTGATAATCATTATGGAAAGATGAAGAATAATGTAAATTCAAGGATAGAGAGTTTAATCTGAATGATTGTGAATGTGAAGAGTGTTTGAAGAGAGTCTCAGAAGATTTAAATATAAATTGTGATTATGAATTCTGTGAGAGAATTTGAGAGATATGAAAAGTCTCAGAAGAATAAGGATTAATTGTGATTTTGATTATGAATTCTCAAGTATAAATATTATGACATGATGTCAACGAGGATTGAGTAAATTTGAACAAAATTGAAAATTTGAATATTTTTGAATTTAGTGAATCTATGATTGTGAGAGAATTTGAGAGATATGAAAAGTCTCAGAAGAATAAGGATTAATTGTGATTTTGATTATGAATTCTGTGAGAGAATTTGAGAGATATGAAAAGTCTCAGAAGAATAAGAATTAATTGTGATTTTGATTGTGAATTTTCAAGTATAAATATGACATGATGTGAAAAATTTGAATATTTTTGGATCTATGATTGTGAGAGAATTTGATATGAAAAGTCTCAGAAGAATAAGGATTAATTGTGATTTTGATTATGAATTTTCAAGTATAGATATGACATGATGTGATAAATTTGAATATTTTTGGATCTATGATTGTGAGAGAATTTGAGAGATATGAAAAGTCTCAGAAGAATAAGGATTAATTGTGATTTTGATTGTGAATTTTCAAGTATAGATATGACATGATGTGATAAATTTGAATATTTTTGGATCTAATGAATCCGTGATTGTGACAGAATTGAAAGAATTTAAGGCTTCTGAAAAGTATAAGAAGATTTAAATAAGGATTAATTATGAATTTGATTCTATTTGAATCTAATATAAATATTATGATACTTATACATATGACAATGATTATGGAAATGGAATTTTATTTTTGGATCTAATGAATCTTTGATTGTTGTGAAGTTTGAGAGAGTTCATAAGAATCTAAGAAGATTTAAATAAGCTATGATTTTGATTCTATATGAATTGTCTAAAAATATTATGATATTTACACATATGGCATGATTATAAATGGAGCTTTATTTTTGGATCTAATGAATCTTTGATTGTTGTGGAGTTTGAGGATTTAAAAGAGGAAATCTAAGGAAATTTTATTTGCACGTAACACTAATAATTATTATTGGAAATTTGATTTAAGACAACACTAAATTGAAACATTTAAAGCTTAATAAAAATTTACTGGATATTGTTTTGAGTAAGTGTTTTTTATATAAATGTTAGAATAGTGTTGTGGTGTTGAATAATATGTATATATAAATTTTATGATAATATTGATTGATATGTAATAACTATCAATTTCAATAAAAGTTTGAGAATATTTAAAATAATACTGATGTTTAAATCTTTTTCTAATTTTTCAATTTAAACTATCCGCTAGACTAGCGGATAGATTTTAAATGAATATTAATTTGTTCGAGAACATACGAGGGATTCGTGCTCATCACTACCACACTATTTGCATTTCTGAATGACAACAGGAAATTCGAGTAAAAAATTCAAGCGCATTTCAATTTCAATGGAATACAAGAACAAAAGGAACAAGATGATTCCAGTTCCAGTCATTCAAACGACATGTCATAACTCTACTATATTTAGTAATCGTGAGGCAAATAGCGACATAATTGGCAAATTATTTCCGAATGCATGCCACAAGCCAAGTGAATTGTCTTAAAAAAACTTCGTCTCGTAAAACTATTATAAATATAATGTAAAAACAAATTAATTATTAATTCTTCAAACAAATAATTCTTACTTAGCAACAAATAATTCTTCTATACTGTTCGATTCATGCCATGGTGCTCACATACACACTCGTATCTATCACGTACCAAATAACAAACAACAAATATTACGGACAAACCCAACGAATTAACGAAACGGATTAATGAAAATAATTGTCCATGCCGCTATAATAGAAAGGAATAAAATTGTGTGATACTCACGGCAATTTAACTCGTCAGAACGATCTAAACAATCGTTCACGCCATTGCACCGTGCGCTGCTGTCAACGCACTGCTCGTTCCTGCATTTGAATTGCGACGCGGTGCAAGCTGGAAAGTGGAAAAAAATCACGTGAAAAAAAAAAGAGAGAAGAGAAAAGAGAAGGGATAAAAAAAATTCTGATCGCATGGAAAAACGGTGGATGAAAATAAATGATAAGGGGGAGACGAATATTTCAAACTATGATTCGGGATTCGATCCATTTCGACTCCATCTTGGATCACGTAGTGCGCGGGAAATTGTGGCAAAAGGCGAAAGTGGCGACAAAATTTCCCAACTTGATTCTCGTGTAGGACGATTCGTAAATTCACACACGATGCAAATAAAGTTTAAAGAGAGATTCTGTGGTTAAAAATAGAGGGAAAATGAAGAACAAGGAGTAGAAAAAAAAAAATAAAGAATAAAATTTTTCAAACTTTTCAAACGAGTGAAATTAACAATAAATTATTTGTGGCATGTGAATTAATAGGTTATGTCGAATATGAAAATAAGGAAAGAGTGTAGAGAATATACTTTTTTATGGAAAAATTCATCGATTATACGATTCTTTGATCCTACATCTTGATTTGTTTCAAAAAGAAAGTTTAAAATTTTATTCTATGTTTTTTCCTTATTTTCACAATATACAAGTAGAATGATTGTACCCAATCAAGAATTAACTCTTTCCCTCGAAAAGTGTTCAAACTTCGATTTATTAGAAAATGAAAAAAATTTAATTCTATATTTTTTTATTTTTTGAACTATGGAATCTCGCTGACCTCATTTCTACCATTCTGTAAATAGTCTCGATAATTTATTTAACAAGTACACAACGCGTCTCACTATTCCACATTTCGTGATAAAATGAAATAATTCATGTATGAAATCGATATTTCGGGATTTAATTTATTTTTCAATAATTTAATCAGAAGGATGTCGTGGTTAGAAATTATAACAGTCGATTGTGATTTCATTACATGTTCGATTTTAACTCTGGCTCAGATAATTGTATTATTGCTTTCATTTTATTCGATAGATCTTGGGTTTAATGATTTTATCGTGTTTATGTATCGTATGGTGAATATACCAAGTTAAATTTAATGTACTTTCCACGTATATTATTTGAAATCGTTGCATGTGCTCTTCTTTCTTTCTTTTTTCTTTCTTTTTTTTTTTTTTTTTTTTTTTTGAATTACAAAGAGAATGGACATCAATAAGACTCGAATTTCTATTCCCTTATATATACGAATAGAAATAGGGAATCCAATAATGTCACTCGAATACGAGTTTAATATAAACTCGTCGAGAAACGAGAAGAAAAGTCAAGTTTCAAAGAGCGGGGTTTTTCCATGGCCATTTCTACGCTATTTCTTAACTGTTCGTACTGTTTAATAAAACGGTGGAGTACAATTATAAATGTGCAATTATAACAATTCCTTTTTCACTATTATTAATTACGGTTAAACGGATATTCTTTCATCTTTTTTAAAAAAAAAAAAAAAAGAAATCTTCTCGTGAATACATTATTTTCCCTCGTTCGTCTGATGGAATGGCACTGCTATGAAATTATCTGCCACCTGATAATGGAACGCTTCTGATAAATTCTCACGTGTTTTAAACTGCGTGAAGATTTGTAAAACGATTCGAGATAAGGGGGGGGGGGAGAATATATTTTTTTCGTTCCCTTGGCGAGTCATTAAATTTTAATATCTCGCGAATATAGAAAAGATATCGAGATATAAAACATTAATAATAACAATCCCTTTTCTCAAAATTTTTCTTCAATTCAAATAAAACAAAACATTTATCTCGATATAAATTTGAAAAAGAAAAAAAAAAAAGAAAGAAAATTACATTTCGAAGAATTTTTTTCGATCTGGATCGTTTCCTCTACGAAGGGCATCGTATCGTAAGATATCTCGTACTCATTTCGAAAGAGTTAACACAAAAGAAATATTATACGAGCCACGATCAAACGTTGCTTATCACACGTAACTTTTTCTTAAGAGTTACCCTCTGTGCGATATAATTATATATTTATGTGTATGTATGTGTGTGTGTATATATATGTATATACACAATCGTAGAACAATACTGTCAAAAGTGTCCCCTCCCTCATATTACGTTTCAGATAAACACAAACCGTGGCTGGATGCTCTTGTTTCAAGCTGACAGACCGGACTTCGCTACCACTTCAACGTGATATGAGAGTACGTCGACCACGGTGTTATTTCAGCAATTGGATCGACGCTGGTTCATCTCGTTTTCACAATTATGTCATGCTCATTCGAGACAATCCGATCGCACGCCGTTTTGGATAGCGTTACAGTGGGAAGAGAGTACGTGTAAAGTAGATCAGGTTCGTATTTCCACCGATTTCCCGCGCTTTCGTTCGACTTTAGCCGATATTGTTACCGACCAACGGTCACACACGGTCAATTTCAAGAGAATCAAGTAGTATGTTTTTTTTTTTTTTTGTTTTGTTTCGTTTCTCGTTTTTTTTTTTTTTCATCGAGAATTCCTAAATGTATCGAATTGTTTATTTTATGTAATTCTAAACGTTGAAATTTAATTTAATTTTTTAAACACTTATTCGTCGATAAAAGTAATGGATACTACGAACGAAATAAAAGTGAATTCTAATTTTGTGTCTTGCGGTTATTTCAAAGTTTGATTAGATTATTTTCAAACAATAGATAAATTAAGTGAGATGATAATTCTGATTGAAGATTCCTTTTCTCAGTTTTCAGTTCGAAAGTTTAGTTTATTAATAAATGAAACCTAACCTAGTTTCGTTACCAAAAGTATATCTTCATTGCCAACAGACACCTTTTGTGGACCATGATCTCCGTTGCTCGGCTATGAAGTAATACGAGATTTAAGGTGACCAAGTTGATTTCAACCTCTCTGACGAAGGTTAAGGAGAATTCCTGTTGATTTTCATGGCAATATAGCGGCGAATGGGCAGTCAGAGTCAAGTGAGGAGATTGTGTGACAATCTCTCGTGTCAAAGCATACTTCAAGTCCCTTCACCAGACATAACCTGATCGTGCCTCGTGTTTTCCATATTCTTATTCCTTTCCACTCTTTGAATACCATAATGGATATGTCCATAGACTCGTACTCAGCAAAACTAGTTATATATCCTCGAAAACGACTTTGGAATCCATCTTTTCCATCCATTTCGAAATAATTTTTATTTCATGAAGGTAGACGAACGTTTAAAGTGATGTCGATGAACCCTTTCTCTCGTATAATATCGAAATCATATAGAACGTGGAATGGATTTATATATATATATATATATATGGAATTTTAATTCAACGAAAGCAGATTGCCTTTGATAGAGAGATTAGCTTAGACTTTAATTTCAATTCTACGTTACGTATAATTTAATTTTCATTTTGTAGAATTAAAATAATTTTTCGCTCTTTTCTTTTTTTCTTTTGCGCGTATTCTAATAGTAAAACTCAACGAGAATCTAAAAATATAATTTTTAAATTTAAGAAATTACAGATAAATTTAAGGAATTTATGCGTGATTAAAAAGTTATTTTAATTCCATTACGAAAAATTCCATTTTTTAATTTTTAATTTTTTCAAAACTAAGTTTATCTAGTTTCTATAATGCAGCATTCGTTCCACTAATTTCTAATATTCAATAATTTCACGTATACTTCTATGGATCTAAACATAGTGCGATGACTACAGATGAATCACTAACAAGAAGAAATCTATTTTCGAAAAATATTTATCACTCTAAAAATAAGCGTTCGCGAAGTTGCCTTCCAACTTTTCCACCACGATTTCTCGTAAAATTCGAAACAATCGAATTCCATTGAAATTCAGCATTAACATCTTTATCGAGAACAAGGAAGCAGGAAGGAGAGAGCCGCGAGATGGAGTGAAATATTGAGGGAACAAGGTGTCGCGAGGATATGGAGGTGGTGTGCCAAGGTGGATGGAAAAGTTTCCCCGGTTTCCTTTCTTTTCTTTTCTTTTCTTCTTCTTTTTTTTTTTTTTATGCTCTAAAGATGCATGAGAGCGTGTCTCGAGGCTCGAAAAACCCACGGCTTCAAGATGCATCTTTTTACAGCCGCGATTCTCTTATCACTCCCCCCACCCCTCCCGACATCCTGCCGCTCCTTCCTTCGATCATAACTATTTAAAGCACCGAGAAGTTCTGCAAAATTGCCGCTCCGCCGTGTTCCAACCACTTTGACGTCGCGAGTTTGCTAACCCAAAGGTTGATAAAACACGCAATTTTTGCAGACTTGAAACGCCATTTTACCTCCCCCCTTGGACACCGTGGATGTAATCATCGAAACCAGGTCAAAATAGCATGCAATATATGCATATGTCGTACCATCATTAAAAATAAAAAGGTTGTTTGTATCTTTGAATCGTCGGTATTCGATTCGTCGGAAAATCAATTGATATTTTTTTTTTGTTCCTCCATAATTTTCGTTCTACTATCTATTCATCTTTTACTCTCTCATTTTTCTATATTCGTTTATAAAAATGTCAAGGTCGATTAGAGAGATGATCTCCCACTTCCCGTTCTCCATCAAGAAGAAACACATAGTTTTTCGAGCACGATAACGAGGACATTAGTATCGCGTGCAACAACCCGTGCGAAGCTGCACCGCAGCTTTTTCACTCGCATCAAGCTGGAAAAGAACATCTTCGAGAGGTATATCACGAAAGTTGAATTAATTTGTCATATACAAAGGAAGGAGAGAGGGGAGGGGGGGGGGGGGGGATTTTGCTTCTTCTTCGAACAATCGTTTGCCACGTTTCTTCGAACGGCAATTAATGGATGATCCTGTGACTCTCTCGGACAACAATTTTGGAAATTGCCCTTTTTCTTCGTAATTTTTTTCCTTCTATCCTTTTCTTTTTTTTTTCTTTCTTTCTTTCTTATGACACACGTTTATTAGAAAGCAGAGGAGAGAGAGCTGAAAGCATAAAGATATAGTGGGTGATGAAGAAAGGTGATGAAGAACTCCATGGGGACTAAACTTCCCCCGCTGGCACTCCATTAGAAGAGCACGGACGATTTAGCAGAGGGG